ACCCTGTCTCTACTAAAAATACAAAATTAGCCGGGTGTGGTGGTGCATGCCTGTAATCCCGGTTACTCGAGAGGCTGAGGCAGGAGAATCACTTGAACCTGGGAGGCGGAGGTTGCAGTGAGCCAAGAACGTACCATTGCACTCCAGTCTGGGCAACAAGAGTGAAACCCTGTCTCAAAAAAAAGTCTTAAATCCTTTGGTATCTTTCATATCAAATGTATTTATTCATCCAAAACTTAGAAATCTTACTAGTCTCCTTTAGATGGCAGAAATCCAGCTCAACAGCTAAAAGGGATATTGGTTTAAAAAAACTAGGGTATCTTAAAACCAGAGGAAAATCAAGCAACTAGACTGAAAGAAGTGACAGCTGGAACTCAGGAATGAATGGAAATTAATGACTCCAGGACACTTTCTGAGACTTTGCACTGTAATATTGGTTCATTCTCTTGTGACAGACTGCCATCCTCTGTGGCAGGAAGTATGACTGCCACATCCGCCCACACCTCACATTCCATAAGTTCTGCTGCTGGGAACAGAGCCTGTCGTTAGGTTTCTCTGACAGCTGCAAGAGTAATAGTAAATAAACTGCCAGGTATGGAGCTAAATGTGGTGCTTATTTTAACCCATTTAATGATTTTAGGAACCCTCTGAGGTGAATATTATTAATATGCACCTTTTACACATGAGAAAACTGAGGAATGGAGAAGTTAAAAAACACTTGACTAAAGTCACAAAGCTTGGAAGTGGCAGAGCTGGGTTTCAGACCCAGGCAGTCTGGTCCCACCTAAGCTGATGATTAACCACTGTCATATTAGTTGAAAACAGTCACAGTGAGAGGACAGGAGGGTTTGTTTGTTTGTTTGTTTGTTTGTTTGATTTTTGGCCAGGTTAAAATATAGCAAGATAGGGTTATGGTTTTAATTTTTTGTTTATTCTTATAAAGGATAGGAGAACCGATAATGTTATAATGGGACTGTTTTTAGAGCTTTGAAAATTGCATGAGTTTTTGTTCAAAGTGACATTGTGATATGTGCTGCCTATGTAGCATCTGTCCTGTGTGCTATGTGGTAGAGCGAAGTTTTGCACTGGACAACAGTTGTTGTAGTGATCCTCAGTCGGGTGATGTTGCCCCTAGGAGACATTTGGCAGTGTCTAGAGACATTTTTAATTGTCACAGCTTGTATGGGGGGTATCTACTGGTATCTAGTGGATTGAAACCCAAGATGCTGCTGTATTTCCTGCAATGTGAGACAGACTTCAATAACAGAAGAACTCCTCAGCCCAAAATGTTAATAGTGCTGAGACTGAGAAACACTGTGTTAGATAAACTGAGCCATTTCCTTTTATTTATTTATTTATTTATTTATTTTTTTGAGAGGGAATCTAGCTCTGTTGCCTAGGCTAGAGTGTGCAGTGATGTGATCTTGGCTCCATGCATCCGCCACCTCCTTTAGTAGAGACGGGGTTTCACTGTGTTGGCCAGGCTGGTCTCAAACTCCTGACCTCGTGATCTGCCCACGTTGGTCTCCCGAAGTGCTGAGATTACAAGCATGAGCCACCGTGCCCAACCAACTGAGCCATTTTCAAACTAAGTGTCTGTGTATGGGATAAATAGGCAAGAAATTCTCAATCCTTATGAGAGTAAGTAGGTCAGGACGAAGTCTGATGTAGTGGTCATACTCCCAAGTATGAGGAGGGGAGGATCACATTAGCCTTGAGTGCCTGGAAAGAAGAACCATATACAGAGGAAGAAGTTTACAGAAGGAGCTGTAGGAAAATGGAGCAGACATACCTGGCTAGTTCCAAAATTTTTCCCAAGGTTGGACTGTGTGCATACAGGTAAAAAGGTAAGGAAGCCTAATCTCCCTCTTCTCCATGCATACCTGATGATGGTTTCCTGTTAATAGAACTAATTTTAGGACAACATTTCAGCAATATTCTTGACAAATATGGGCATTGTTCTAATTTATGACATTGGAATGTGTTGATAAGGACTCAGGTTTATATTAAAAGAAATAGAGCCATTATTACTTTTAAAAGGTTATTTTGTGATATTTAGGTTTCAATTACAGCAACAGCCAATATTTATTAAATGTTTTCTGTATGCCAGACACTAAGCTGAGTCAGTGCTTAATCTCATTTAACACTCATAATAGGAATTTAAGATAGTTACTAAAATTACCTGCATTTTACCAATCAAGAAATGAGTCCCCAGAAGGGTTAACTACCATCCTTAAGGTCAAACAGCTACTAAGCTAGAGTCCAATTTCTGGTTTGATTCCATAGATTAAACTCCCAAAACCAAATGGTGTGCTGCCTTTTTCCTACTAAAAGTAATTACAGTCCTTTCTCATTCATCTGTAGTTGCAGTATTGATACCACTAGGTAATTTTTTTTGTATTTGGTCTCAGTTCTCGTTAGTGAGAAAATTTATATATGTTTGGAAACAGTCATTCCATTTATGTTGGAAAGCTTTTAAAAATTAAAGCTGTGAAGTATGCTACTTCCAAATGGTTTCTTCCAACATCTATTGAATAACTTTAGTAACCAATTTGAGGTTATTATTTGGGTGTGATGATTTAGGAAAAATGTTTATCCTTTCCTTTAATATAAAAGCTTGGTATTATTAAATGTGTTACAATGTATAAGGTAATTAAGATGAAATACTAAATATTTCCCTCTTAGCTTAATGTCACCTAATCCATTTGTGTAAAGTATTGTACAAAATCAGGCCCTTGAAATTCTGTGTAATAGAAATATTAATATAAAAAGAAGATAGATCTCCACCTCCCCCATTGGGGGAATATTGTTTCGAAAGGGAAGAACCATTCAGTACTTACCATATGTGAATAAATTAGATTGCTTTTAACATTTTATAAGAAATTTTTGTTTCCGTACATCGGACTTTGACCACTAAAGCAAGTAACTGTTACACACTCATATTTATTTCCTCATGGGAAGCTTACAGTTAGAAACATATGCTGATGTTGGAGAGTAGGTGGAAGAAGGGGATGCCACAGGTGACAGGAAGTGTAACTTTTTTCAAGCTTCTTACAATGAGAGTGAGTGGCAAGTTGTCTTTTTTTCTCAATAAAAATATTGTTTTATGTTTTGCTTTATTTACATTTGCCAGCAACGGGATCTTTGGAGAAAAACACATAGCAATTGGAGGAAAAGTACAGCAGTTGGAGGGAGGAGGATGTGGGTAGCCGTGATACTATAGTTTGCCTCCCCTTTTGTTACTCTACCTTCGAGGTTTGAACCTGGTTACCTGGGTGTTTCTGACCCCATTTCCCACTTTCATCCTCACTGTATTATGGAGATCTTGGGCAACATTTATGCCAATGCCGTATTTTCACTTTTTTCCCTCTGCAAACCTACTAAGTTGTGATAATTGCTGGCTCCCTGTTGTGCTTGTTTGCTGTGTTAACTTTTAAGTTCCATACATGGTATAGTTGTATATAGTTGATTATTCAGTCTAAGAGTTAAATAATAAAAGTTTGATTAATCTTAGAAGATAGAAGATATTAAAAATATTTTATGTGTGGTAAAGTTTTTTTAGATGGGTCATTAATTGATAACTTTCTTTAGGCTTTAATGGTTAAATGTGGTTTGAATACTTTCTTCTTTGTATTCCCAATAGGATTTGACTCTGCAAGAAGGAAAATATCCCTATTGTTTAAAAAAATGGTTTCTGTATTTACTTATTTGAGAATCTAGTTTTGCTGTTAATTTAAATTGAGAAATATATGCCTCAAAAATTTTAAAGGAGTAACATGTCAAAATCTAATCTTTTTTCCCATCTTGCTTTATGTAATTTTTTTGATATGTGGAAAAGAGGGACAGGAGCTATAAACTCAGAGCCAAATGTGCTTTTGTTGTTCCAAATTCTCAGTGCCAAAAGCATATAAACCTGCACCTGTTGATAATTATGAGCAAGCCAGCCTTTGCCAAATCCCAGGCCTCTGCTTAAAATTTTTTACTGGAACTAAATGATGTTGCCATTTTTATTTTTAGGTTTGCTGGCATGGGTAATCTCATTAAGGTGCTAACCAGGGACATAGACCACAATGCAGCACATTTTTTCTTGGACTTTGAAAGTAAGTCTCTTTAGCCCTTCACAGCTGGTGCATAATGGTAAAGGTGAAAGATGAATTATACTCACCACAGTGAAGGCCAGCCAGAATATTTGTTAATTAAACATGGGAATCAAACAAAGGTTGCATGATTTTTTCTTAATCGTAGGCAAACATCACCATCATATGTATAATTTAGTTTTTCATTTGCTAAAATCATGTTGAGTCTGTAGCCAGTGCTGTCCTTTCATTAGTCCATGAAGCAAGTAGCCTTATGATGAACATTCTAATAGTATGCTTTAGTGACTATGTCAAACAATGTTCGCTTATAATCCTATAATAATTTTATTTTAAAAATCAGAATTGTGCTGCATATCTTGAATCAGTACTCTCCGTAACCTCCACAGATTATTAACAATCCAAATTTGGTTAGAAATATATGCTTTATTTAATTGCATGCAGGAAGAAAGTTTTATACTGTTTTGAGATGCGAAGGTGAGCCGTGGCCAAATGTATTAATATTTGGCTTTGAAATAAATTGTTGTTTCAGTGCTATACTAACAATACTACATGTAAATAATTCTTCATCAGAAATTTCTTTTTCAGAATATTAGCACTATTGGAATACTTAAAGAATTTTTCATTATAAGGCCATTAATGAAACTTGTCTTGGGAGAATTTTGAGAAGAATTAGAGCATCAGTTGTGCCATTGTGTACAGGAAAACCACATTTCACCTCTAGGTCCTACATATCAACACCTTGAGAACCCGATTTGCTGTCTGCCAGAGCACAGTCTGGGTAACCTGAAGAATGAATTCATGGCCTAATGAACATTTTCCCTGTTACTATTTTTCTTTAAGTAAACTTCAGATGTTCTTTTTTATAAAGGGATATTTTCTCTTTTCTCATTCTTGTCTTGACAGGTACCTTAACATGGGGAATCTTCTTAAAGTTTTGACATGCACAGACCTTGAGCAGGGGCCAAATTTTTTCCTTGATTTTGAAAGTGAGAAGATGATTTTATACCTATTTCTCTTTGCCTGCAGTAGACTGCGTTTGTCTTGCACTAAATGAATGTTTCCACTTTGCCATCTTTTTAACTGCTTTGCATGACTGAGCTATGAATTGTTTGAGTAAATTTCTGGTGCCTTCTAGAACTGGAAGTCCTGTTTTATAGATTAAATTGTGATGATAAAATGTCTTTGAGTTTTTGTAAGAGATTTTATATCTCTTAGTTGGAGATTCTTTTGTAATTTGAGATCTATTCTCTAATGAAAACATTTTTATGAAAAATATTAGAAAGGAGAAGTACTACCTCAAGATTTATTAATAGAAGCAATATTTGGGGAAAACTTATATTGCAGTCAAGAAAAATCAACCAGGTTTCAGTTATTCTAGGGTACATATTTGAGTATTTGAAATATCAATCTGTTCATGAAGGCCATTCAGAGCTCAGTAATTTGGGCATAATATTAAAAGGTAAGTGTGAACCTAAATTATTTAATCTTTGCAGATAATTTGAAAAGTTAAAAAAATGGAATGTATTTATTTCAGGAATTTATTTTTTCTGACTCTAAATAAAAGGAAAAATAATGGGTTCACAGACCTTTAAGTAATTTGCCTTCTGTTTGTTTTATGTTGCATGACCTATTGTAATATGGTCTAAGAGTGGCAGGTAAGTGTCATTGACCTCGGTGCATGTTGCAAAGCTTTTGCTTTTTTTGGCTGTTGATACCGCTTTAGCTTGTCTGGTTGTCAAATTGAGAAGAATTATTAAATTGGTGTTTTAGTGTGAATGATGCTATTTTAACTGATCAATAGAAAATTGTTAGGAAAGGGTGAAGAGGTATTCCTTAGGTTTTAAATCATGTGATCCCTTATATTTTTATTTGAGGTTAAAGTGTTTGAACGTATTTTTATATACTTAAAATTTAAGACGTTTTCTGATTTTAAAAACAAAACAAATAAATCATTTAAAATAAACCCCCAGAAAGTCACTGCCTTTTCCTCCAACTTCAGTTTAGTTTTTATGATTTAATGTGGTAATTCATTCTATTTTGTGAACCATTTTAAACCATGGCAGTTCATATGAACACATCAATTTATAGCTGTCTCCATTTTGTAGAATAATTTGTGGTCTCTGGTTATTTTCTACTTTTATTCCATTTCTATAAAGAATCTGTTACAGTTTGGGTACTGTGTACAGGCTAGTAAAGAGTAGTAATATCAATATCAGGTCTATATGAAATTGAGTTTCAGGGGAAATTGGGTTTTTAGGGGAAATACTATTATATATTAGATGAATATTAGTTTTCTTGACCCTTCTCAACAATTTACCAGTGCTATGTTAAGTGCATGTTTAGCATGACTTTTAATCAGCTTGAGGATGTTGAGCAGATTGCTGACTTGAAGATACTCTTTCAGATGAGGCAACTTACATTAGAGCTGTATTTTAGTTTATTTGCATCTGTTTCAAACTTGGTCTTGTGTCTTTTTCTGCCGTTCTGTCTCCCTTTTCCTCTTTGTCTCAAATTCCTTACATTTACAGAATCTTGACTTTGATACAGTCAAGATCTTGTTCAAGACTTGGCACTTGATCTTTTTGTAAACCTAGCGTTATATTATGGTCAAGTGAGAAGCATGAATTTAAATGTAGTATTTAAAAGATTACTTGGTCTTGGCTTTCCAATCTGTGGGAGTGTTTGGATCATTTTATACACACATACACGCACACACACTTTTTTTTTTTGATACGAAATCTCGCCCTGTCACCCAGGCTGGAGTGCAGTGGTGCAATCTTAGCTCACTGCAACCTCTGCCTACCTGGCTCAAGGGATCCTCCCACCTCAGCCTCCAGAGTAGCTGGGACTACAGGCACATGCCACCAAGCCCAGCTAATTTTTCATATTTTTGGTAGAGATGGAGTTTCACCGTGTTGCCCAGGCTGGTCTCAAACTCCTGAGCTCAAGTGATCCACCCACCTTGGCCTTCCAAAGTGCTGGGATTACAGATGTAAGCTACCGCACCCGATACATTACTATAATTTAATAATAGTGACAGGAAAAGGTAAAAATTGCAAACAACAATAATAACCAATAATGCAGAAGTACATATAAATGTCAACTGTAAAGGCAGATATTGTTGCCTGTATCAGCCAATGTAGATCTTTTGGTTTTATACTTACTGGTATACTATAAATGAAATTTAGTGGCGACATACTGTATACCAAAGTAGAGTTTACCCATTGTTATTTCTTATTTAGATTTTTAGATACATTTTCTTTTGATTCTAACATTGGCATTATCTTAATTTAATCTCCAGTCCATTTCTATATTTTTCTTCTTTTTGGAAATACACATTTGTAAAAGCTTACCTTATCATTAAGCTATTACAGTGACCTTGGCCCATCAGATGGGTGCTCTCTTAAACTGTTGTATACTGCTTTATACCAGACTCAAAACTGCCAACATTGTTGATCTGCTAGTTCTCAATAACTTAAAATAAAGCCACATTATTTTTGATAGAGTAATTAGTACTACATTGTTTATTTCTAGGTGCACTTTAATATTGATGTCACCAGAGTAATTTAGTTTTACTATTTCTATTAATCTGATTGGTTAAGTCTATCCCAATATGTCTCTACAGTTGGGTAACTATAGAAATAATTCATGCAGATTACCTGGCTATTTGTATCATGTTATATACAAATGACATATTCTAGTGCATTTGAAATGTAATTTAATGGAATCTTGTAGTTTACAAAATTAAGATTGTCTTTAAAGTAAATCATTATTCCCTTAACTTACTACTCCTCTCACGACCCCCGTAACTGTTTTTCACTTCAGTTCAACATACATTTATGCCTTGCCTCCTGTATACCAGCCAGTAGGTGCTGGGGATGCAAAATAGAACTAAGATACAACCCATACGTGCTGGGAGCTCTCAATCTAGTAGGAGAGGATAGAAACGAAAGCTCATAATTTTGTTTTGTTTTGTTTTTGAGACAGGGTCAGTCTCTGTCGCCCAGGCTGGAGTGCAGTGGCATGATCTCGGCTCACTGCAGCTTTGACCTCCCAGGCTCAAGTGACCCTCTCACCTCAGTCCCCAAAAGTAACTGGAATTACAGATGCCCACCTGCCAGAAAACTCATAGTTTTACTTATTTATTTTCAACCTGTAGCTTATGAAGATACTAACTTTAAATGGCAGTGAGTAGAATGAGAATCATCATGGAAGACCCTTTTTTTTTTTTTTTTTTTTTGAGACAGTGTCTCACTCTTGTCACCCAGGCTGGAGTGCAATGGCATGATCTTGGCTCACTGCATCCTCCACCTTCTGGGTTCAAGCGATTCTCCTGCCTCAGCCTCCTGAGTAGCTGGGATTACAGGCATGCAGCACCACACCCAACTAATTTTTTGTATTTTTAGTAGAGATGGGGTTTCACCATGTTGGCCAGGCTGGTCTCAAACTCCTGACCTCAGGTGATCCACCCACCTCGGCCTCCCAAAGTGCTAGGATTACAGGTGTGGGCCACCGCACCTGGCCCATCATGGAAGACTTTCTGATGGTGATGTTTGAATTGGTTTTTGGAGAGTGAATTAGAATGTTTTGAACTAATATGGTGAAGGACAGTAGAAAGAAGGAACAACATGGACAGAGACCTTAAGGCATGAAATGTTAAGTCTGTATTCAGTCGAATGTTTACTCTTGATAGAAGGATTTTTTTCCTTAGAACAGATTACTCCTAGATGATAAGATTTTATTTTGTTTTTATTTAATAATAGTTCAGTTAAAACATAAGCCCAAAATTGCTCCATAAAATTTAGCAGCAGTTATGCTATTGACAGCATATAAAAAGCACTCAATCGAGCTAGGTTCAGTGGCTCATGGCTGTAATTCCAGCACTTTGGGAGGCCACAGCAAAAGGATCACTTGAGTCAGGAGTTTGACACCAGACTGGGCAACATGGCAAGACTCTATCTGTACAAAAAAAATTTTTTTTTAATTAGCTGGGAATAGTGACGTGTGGCCCTGCAGTGAGCTGTGATTGCTCCACTGCACTCCACCTTGAGTAGCAGAGTGAGACTGTCTTTGGAAAAAAAAAAAAAAACAACACTGAATGGGGGCCTGTATACTCTTCTAGTTGTTGGAATTTCCTATTTTATAACAACAGTGTTAATTTATAGCTTATTCTAATGACAAATCTCTAGCCTAAGTAACTTCTGTATCTACTAGCTCACTAAATTCTAGTTCTTGGGAGAAAAGTGACTTTTATTTATTTTTGTGTCCTTTCCCAATCTTAGCATAGTGCTTTTTAAATGATAGAAGTTCAGTATGTATTTTTTAAACTTGATTTACTTACCTCCAGGTAGATCAAAATAGAGTAAATAGAGGTAGTCATTTGTTACGGGAGAAATAGAATATATTTTCTCTGATTCTGTTATAGTGCCTTTCCATTGAGTCATGCATTTCCTCTATTCCTTGTGTCCTTTGTGTTACTTGTTTCCCCCTTATCACTTAGAAATATTGGGACCTACTCTAATTTTTTCAATTATCTCTTGCATAGTTTCAGTTGGTTTTGCCCTGTACTTTGAAATATCTTTATTCTGGTGTCATCTTTCTTATTTTTTTAAAATGATATAGGATGATATTTATTCAGGGATCAAAAAGCATAGTAGTCTCCTTTAATTCATGCTGGAGACTTATTTATGTCTCTGTACCCTCTCATTCATTCAAAATGTATTATAGAAAATCTAGGAACTGAGTTTACATATGTACCAGTGGTACATACTCTACATTCTAGTCTCTGTCTTGATGTAACTTACAGGGATAGATTGCATAGGTTTATTAAATGAATTAATGTAAAATTAAAGCAGAAAGACCCCTTATCACAATTATAATTTTTATGTTGACTTTTTATTTTTTCATTTCATAGTTAGTCCTTCCTTTTTATATTATAGTGACTTCAATTTTAGCAGTTATATTTAGTGACTCTTTTTCTACCCTCCACCCTATAGGAAATTAGTGTGAAGTTACTAAAATTTTTAATTTACCTTCAATAAGAACAATTGAAACATGCCTTAATTTCCCTTGAACAGCTTTAAAAACTAGTATGTCTACTACTCTCAGTAGTAGATACATTATTTTGCAATTTTGAATGTCCTTTTGTAAGCTGACTAAATGGTACTTTTTTTTTTTTTTTTTTAATAGTAAAGCCATTTTTTCTATGGAAAATCAAAGTGACAAGTCTTGGTTGCATTATATAGTACCGTTTTTTGAAAAAAAATAAAAAAATTAAAAAGCTTTATTTTATACAGCTTTTCCCCCTTCCTAGTATTTCACCCTTTTGCATGACTTGCTTTCAGTAAAGTAGTGCTTACTTGTCTGCTATTTTCTGTTTGTCTTCATTTCTACAGCAGTCTTCAGCAGCTTTCAAAATTATAAATGTGACTTTCCTGTGACAGTCTAAAAAATGTTCAATCATTGTGGTGCTGGGTGTTTTTCTCACCCTAAAGGGAAACTTAAATCTTCTCCTCTATTTTGAAATTTCTTGGTACTTATTAAACCTTTACTAGTTATTAACCACTTACAAGGTCTACTTAAGTCTACTTGATAATGTTTCGTTTGTATGTTAAGTCTCAGTGTCACATTTTTATGTTAACAGCTAGTCACCACACCTAAAATACATAGTCTAGCATTTTCAAACTTCACAGATACCTTTGATATATAATAGCTAAACTGTTGTCCTTTGTCATGAATTCCCACTTCATGAATTCAAACTAGATACGTGTCTACTATTGATGTTATGTCTGTAGTTTCACAATTCCATATGAAAAAGTGTAAGACTGTCGTTTTTTGCATGTAAAACATATTTTTCTCTACTGCATCTGATGTAAGTATAAAAGTTATGAAGTGTGTTTTTTTAAAAAGAGTGTATGTCTGACTATTACATTGGAAAATATGGTCTGGCTAAATGTAAAATATTTAGCAGTAAATTATTCCTGCTAAATAACAAAGCTTGATCTATAAGAAAGCTAACCATTTAGTTGCAATATCAGTATTTGTTCCTAGTAATAATACCTTTGTAGCCTTGGATAGAGAGTTTTTTTTAATTTTTCAATTGGCTCCTCTTGTGTAATTATTTTGTCACAGTATTTTCTTCCTAAAAAAATGATTTCTGAAAAGAAATTTGAAAAATAAGGGAACAGATCACATTCTTAAGTTGACTTATGAATGTTACTTTATTGTTGCTGTAGTACTGTTTTACATATGTTGAGTCTAAAATTTGGTAATGTAATTATTGAATTTTTTAAAAATATGTTGTATATTTTTTACTATTTGGTAGGTTTAATAGGTAGAATTGAATTATTACTTGCTCCAAGCACAAAATAAAGTTATAGTTTTTAGGGATCTTTACTCCCAGTTTCATGTGCAAACAAAGTTTCTTTACAGTGTTCTAAGTAAAGGAATAAAGAAGTCATTGTGTATTTGTGGTGAGGTGAAAAGGAGCAGAAAAGTCTAGTTAACTAATTTTATATGATTGGTAGACAAAGATTTACCAAAAACCTTCTTTTTTGTTTGTTAAAATATTTTTAAACTTAAAGACCAGTGTGATAGTATTAAAAACGTTCTTACTTCATCTTAAATTCGTACTGATTCCTTTTCCCTCATAAGAGAAAATTTTAGCATGGAGGAATTCTGCCATATTTCTCTAAAACATGATAATCAAATGTTTATGATTTTACGTGCTTTATGCCTTACCTGTGGTGCTGAATGTGGCTTAGTTGGAAAGATTTATGAAGAAACCTTCATTTCCTCTTAGAGTCCACCCTTTTTCTTAAAATATAAAAGATTTGTCCTTAGAGAAACAAATGACCAGTATTATTAAAAGCAAGATTTCTGTTAACTTGAGTCAAGCAGAGAGAAATCCAGATTTAGTCATTCATTAACATATGTTTTGCAGCTAACACCACAGGTGGTGAAAATGCCCATATTTTGTGTCCTTGATTCTGCTTTTTATAACTGTAATTCTTCCTTCATTTTTCTCTTACTCCCAAGTGTATAGGAACTCAGATTTTCTTTAGTATTTCAAAATTTCAGTAATAGTATTGTAGTGTAGCTTAAAGTGTCTAGTTTTCAGCAGTTGAGTAATTGTGGAGCAGTTTTATAACTTGAACTCCTCTGCATAGGATTCTTGACCTTGTATTCACCAACAGAATAGTTCAGTGATACTCTCTTGGGTTTGTTGTTAAATATATATATCCTCCCTTTAACCTGTAGTATTTATGTTGAGACACTTTCGAGTGATTCCTGGCAAAGGGGGTGAGCACCTAAAAACTATTCTTTTAAAGTTTTTTACTTTTTTATATCAAAACTCAGTCATTACAAGTAAAATGAACTTTATAGGAAAATGAAAATAGTTTGTCTTAAACTATAGATAAGCAACAGGTTTAGTAGGCTTTCTTTTGCATTAAAATCTGTCATTTCTGATGCATTTACAGTGATAGTGATGGATGTAGTAGAAAAAGTGATTGTTAAAACTATCACAATTAAAAATTTTAATTATAATTATCAGATTGGTTTAATACACCAAGTCCTAATTTGGAACTTAAACTAAGTTAATAATGTTTGGTGTTCCCTTGTTTTCTGTAATATCTATAAACTTGAAACTAGTCATTTAAATGTAGAACTATGGAAAAAGTATTAGTCTTTCCTTAAAAAGTTCAAAGTTAACATTAACTAGAATTAACTCATCTTTGGAAATTTGGGTTGTTAATTGCTTAGAGTTACACATGTATTTAAAAAAATTCATGTCACTGTAAATTTTCTTGTGCTTTCCTGCTATTTAGATGCCCAGCCTACAGAGTCTGAGAAGGAAATTTATAATCAGGTGAATGTAGTATTAAAAGATGCAGAAGGCATCTTGGAGGACTTGCAATCATACAGAGGAGCTGGCCACGAAATACGAGAGGTAAATCATATTTATGTATTTTCTAGTTAACTAAAACTTACTGTCCCACCTCTTTGTAATCTCTATTGTTTTCTAGACTTCAGAATTCTGTATTTCATACTAAGTATTATATTTGAAGGATGCTCACTTGGCATTGTTTCAGAAGTGATAGCAGTGAAATGAGCATGAAAGGAAAAACTGCGTTCCATAAACAGGTAGTTTTTGTACATTAAGAAAATGTTATTTACTTTTTGGGTTGGTCTTATACCTGAAATTTGCAGTATTTATATGGTGCTTCCTAGGAGAAAGTTGGAATCATCCTTGCAGTCAGTACACCTTCCCCATGACTTTACACCACAAAGAAAATATGTAGTGTGGTCTCTCTCAACTTTCCTCTCCCAAACTTGTGAACTTTTTCAGATTTCCATTCATCTCATTTTTTGTTTCTTTTGTTTTTCAGAAGAAACTGTGTCCTTGCTTCTTTCCAAGACTAACTTCTTTAGCTTTGTTCTTCATCCTGTTCTGAAACTTTACTCTTTGAATTATTTTTTCTCTTGGTTAAATCTTCTATCTTTTTTCTTTTACTGAATTCTTCCCTGTAGCATATCCATGTGTAGGTGTCCAGAACTACACAGAGGAAATCCCTGTCCCCTGGGTCTTCATCTTTCCCCTTCTCATTACTGCATTTCTTGAAGCCATTGCCCGTGCTGTGTTTCTTGATTCTTCCCATCCTCTGGTTTATTATTCTCTAGAGTGCAGAGGTCATCAAGGTCACTCTTTGGGACATACATTCCATATCCACCTTGATTTCTCTTCTGACATTTTGGAATACTAAGTGAAGGCAGAATCAAGTGCAGACACCAGAAGGTGGTGATTCAAAACGTGTTGGTGATTGACCAAATCTTTAGGGTAAGGGAAGAGAGAGAGTTAAATGATTCCCTGGTTTTTATTTTATTTTGAGACAAGGTTTAGCTCTGTCACCCTGCCTGGAGTGCAGTGGTGCAACCACAGCTCACTGCAGCCTCAACCTGCTGGGCTCAAGTGATCCTCTTGCCTCAGTCTCCCCAGTAGCTGGCACTCACCACCATGCCTGGCTAATCCCCCGCCAAATAGAGGCAGGGTTTTGCCATGTTGCCCAGGCTGGTCTTGAACTCCTGGCCTCAAGTGATCCCCCCGCCTTGGCCTCCCAAAGTGTTGAAATTACAGGCATGAGCTACTATGCCTGGCCCTTGTTTTTATTTTACATTAGCAGATTGTGGTGTCATTAACTGAGGGAAATTCTGGTGTGAATTCTGTTTCTTGATATGCACCCTTCCTTTGTTTTTGTCTAGAATGCCCTTCCTTTTTTTCTTCAAACCCCCCAATAATCTCCTACTTCCTCTTATACTGTTTTGCCCACTTTACACACATATCTTTTGTGGGAACCATTCTTTTTTTGGGGGGGGGTAAACCATTACTGTTGAGTGTTTATCTCTCTACCACCGTACTTCCAGCTTGAGGAGGGTAAACCTGGTTTCTTATATATTTTGTTGTTATCAGCACCTAATACATTGCAAACTTACAGCACTTAGTAAGCAGTTAGTTGTTGAACAAATAAATACCAGGGCTTTAGTCTTGGCAATGTTATTGGCTTAAGTAAAACCCTAAGATTTCAGTAAACTAAGGCATACAACCGTTTCTGTGAAATTCAAGTTCTCTGAACATTTAAACGTATTTTGAAAAATCAAACATTTGTGGAAATGAAAGATTTAAATGATTTAGTAGGATCTTAATTAACTAATTGGTAAATTTTTTATGATGGTTGTTAGTGCTACAAATTCATTTAAATTGTTTATAAGTGTTAGGTCATTAAACTTCTTTAAAGCTTGTTGTTATGAAGAGAAAAATCTTGCTATAGAGACAAACAATATTCATTTCCTGTTTGTTTTTTTTTGTTTTGTTTTTTTTGGTTTTTTTTTTGAGGCAGAGTTTTACTCTTGTTGCCCAGGCTGAAATGATCTCAGCTCACTGCAACCTCCACCTCCCAAGTTCAAGCAATTCTGCCTCAGCCTCCCGAGTAGCTGGGATTATAGGCACTCACCACCACGCCCAGCTAATTTTTGTATTTTTAGTGGACACGGGACTTCTCCATGTTGGCCAGGGCTGGTCTCGAACTCCTGATCTCAGGCGATCCACCCACCTCCGCCTCCCAAAGTGCTGGGATTACAGATGCGAACCACCTCTCCCAGCCTTTCTTTCTTTCTTTCTTTTTTAAAAAAATATAGAACACTTAGGCCTTTTTTTAATGGGGTTTTGCTCTTTTGGCCAAGTTGGTCTTGGACTCTTGGCCTCAAGCAATCCTCCTGCCTCAGCCTCCCATAGTGCTAGGATTACAGATATGAGCCAGTGTGTCCAACCCGGGTTTTTTTTTTTTTTAATTGCAGTACTTCCCGTTTGGGAGAATTATTCTGCTTCTGTGTGTGGGAAGGCTTTCTACAATAAGATAATAATATTAATAATACTGTTTTCTCTAAAGTCTGTTTATAGATTTGATTGAATCCATATTAAGATTCGTTTGTAATCTTCTGGAATAGAGTATAGTGGTAGAAAAGTTTATATATAGGATATATCAAAGAGACCTTCTAGGGCTGTGAAGCCAGGATTTCCTAATGCTATGACCAAAGATTGAAGTTTTGCATAGGATCCCGTAGTCACTCAGCAGTGCTGCTTTCCTAAGGAACTACAAGACATAGCCACACATAGTTCACTCAAAAATAGTACATGATTGGTGATGTGAGAAAGTGTCTCCAAGTTGAAAAGAAAAGAGAAGGTTTACGTAGAAAAATAACACTGGAGAACACAAAAAAATATAAGGGAAAAGTAATAAGCAATGGTAAGTGATTCATCTTACCAGGCTTGAAACAACTTACAAAGGTACCATTGTTGAACGTTGATAAATGAAGTAATAAAAGATAAATAAGCATTGAAATATAAAATACGTAAGCTAGAAAACTGAAAAGCTGTATTTAAATCTACTGTAGATGGGGGACAAATGTGTAACTATTCAGGCAGTTGAAATTTTTGTTGAGAAGTTGATGCGGGTTTAATGATACAAAGAGAAAAGATTTCTGAAGAGTAGAGAAACAAATTAAAGGAAGGTACAAATAAAAGATGGATATATACCAAATATACAAATAACTGATGTGTTATAACAGTCATAGGTCAATAATTAAATTGCTGATAGTGTTAATTAATAAGACTTAGAGCAGTCAACTCTTCTATCTGTGAAAAAGCACAGACAACAGAAAAAATGGTCAGTTTTGCTAGTAAGTGCACATCACTGTGAAGAAGTTTTAGTTGGTTTGTGAAGAAATGGTAGTCTCAGTTACTTCAAGAAGTACTGTAAAATGGGTAGTCTTTTTGGAGGTCGGTTTGGCAGTATGTTAAAAAAAACTATAAAATTGTTTGTGCTCTTGCACGAGGTACTTATATTTTATAAAACATTCCAAACAACTGTAATTTAAGAGGAAATGTCAATGTAAAAACTGGTATGGCTACCTTATTCATAGTAGCAAAATGGGGAAACAATTCACAGAGTCATTGTGAAGATAAAGTTAGACAACCCATGTAAACAGCATAGCACCGTGTCTGATACAAAGCTAACATAAACCGAGAATTTTCTTATTACTACTATACTAATGATGTTGCATTATATATTAATATATTTTAGTTTAATTTTTTTAAACATTGCAAAACAATAAAATTTGATTTAAGATAGAATCTATTACATAAACAATGCTTATTGTCTAGGATTAACCACCTAGAGGGAAATAAATACTTTCCATTAATGTAATATGTCCATAACCGCCTTAACATTTTTTTTGTAAATTAAAAAAAATAAATAGCCGGGTTTCGTGGCGCACACCTGTAATCCTAGCACTGGGAGGCTGAGACAGGTGGATCACCTGAGATCAGGGGTTCGAGACCAGCCTGATTAACATGGTGAAACCCCATCTCTACTAAAAAAAATATATATATATATTAGTCAGATGTGGTGGCGCATGTCTGTAATTCGAGCTACTTGGGAGGCTGAGACAGGAGAATCACTTATACCTGGGTGGCGGAGGTTGCAGTGAGCCGAGATTGCACCATTGCACTCCAGCCTGGGCAACAAGAGTGAAACTCCATCAAAATAAATAAATAAATAGAGACTTGCTCTGTTGCCCACACTGGTCTTGAACTCTTGGCCTCAAGTGATCCTTCTGTCTCAGCCTCCCAAAGTGCTAGGATTACAGGTGTGAGCCAGTGTGCCCAACCAGTTTTAACATTTTTGAAAATGAGTTACACCTGCTCCATAATAACCTCACCACTGACATTTACTAAATGCCCTTTCCCTTTTACATGTTGGCTATAATGGATGTTGACCCAAAACCTTACCTAACAGAGTGAAATTATTATGAGAGGACAAGGAATTAGAGGTGTAAGGAAGAACCATAAAATATTTATTATAAGGGAGCAGCCAGTGTCTTCAGTTCTAAATCTAGGCAAGGCAGGGCCAGGGAAATAGTTATCTGTGCCCAGTTATGAAAATGGATGACATTTGCTAGAGCATTTTTATATTGTGAGAATGAATTGATATTTAGAAAAGCATTTTTAGATCCTTGCGAGAAAAATAGGATCGACTTCTTTAAGAGAAGAAAATAAAATTTTAACTTTTATCTATTTGCTTTTTTGTTGTTACTGTTTTTTAGTTTAATAGACATTTATTCCTTTAGTTGAATGATCTCTATACAGTCAAAATGTATGGTTTAAGTTACTATTATTATTATTTTTTAGTAGAAAGGAATTTAGATCTCAACAACTTCTGTGAACTTTCTATGAATATTTCCTGGAAATCAGTTAACCAAGCCTTTTGAATCCCATAGAGAAAATAGGAGAAAAATTGGTCCAGAGAAACCAGTATTTAAATTAAAGCCAGCAAATCCAGAATTTAGAATTGTGCAATTCCTTTTCCGCATTTCCTTTGCACTCAAATTTACCCTGGGAGCCAGTAGCCTAGTCTATGGGAAAACATAATAAAGACAAATGCAATGCACTATGTTGGTATGTAAATGTTGGCACATATCTGATGTTCCAGCTTTGTGGAATGATAAGGATTTTAGGGTAGTCTGAGCAGGGACAAGAGAAGTAACTGCAGACAACACATACGGTTAGATTGGAAACCAGGAACTTCTATTGGCTCCATTATGACTTTTCTCTGTAGCCTGTGAGTGTGGACAGAGTGGATTGGCTCAAGATGTTTTTATTTGTAAGGCTGACTGGTCTAAGAATGATGTACATACTTCTAAATAGCCAACTGTTTTCCTGTGATGTGGCTGAAGGATTCATAATGGTCATAAGTTAGTGTTACTGATAAGTATTTTAAAAACTTGATTAAAGTTGACTTTTTCTACCCTCACACTTCAAAGGTATTTATCTAAAGCCTGCTGGCTTCCCATCCTAGCATTGATTAGTAGTTTGCAAAAGTTAAGGTTAATAACTCATACTTATATAACATTCAGTTTCACAATACACCAGTGTCAGTAGCCATACTAACTACTATCCATTAATTTGTATAGAGCTGTGGCATTGGAACTTTTATGTGAACTTAAAATGCTACTGTGGAGACTGAGGCAGTTTTGTTTAGGTTAACCCAGATTTGTTTCATTCCTAAGAAAAGCCTCTTGCAACACATTTATTATTCTGAGAAATGGTGGCATTTTTGCATACTTTTCTCTCAGAAACAGCAGTCATACAAATGGAACAATAAATTAAATTCAAAAATGTGGATTCTATTTGAGCCCATATTTTTCTACATATGGTCACGACATAGGGTTAAGGTATCATCCTCCCACTCTACAAATGTCTAAAGCAAAACTAAACTTAAAAAGTCTGTACTTGCTGAACCCAGCCACTTCAAAGTAGACCAGCACAGCGTTGCCATCACCCCAGTAAAACTGTAGGATTAATCATGTGCACCAGACAAATCTGCAGAGCTAGTTAAAGAATTTATTTTAAACCTCCTGTGTCACACAGTGTGTTTTAAACACTTGACATGTAACTCCAAAGTTTATATTACTAGAAAGAAGACATACTATCATTTTAAGTTTTATGATTTGACAAAGCATTCAATAATCTGCAGACTGTTTTTAACAGACAACACCTTTAAACAGATGTAACTGTCCTAAGTTGTTAATTAGATATTAATTATACAAACATTACATATATTAGTAGTGAAGGTGGAGCTGGAGAGCATTATACCTTCTCCAAGCTGCTTGGCAAGAACCAGATACAGTTTTTGGAATTTAGGGACCATCCAACCCATTGCTTTTTCAGCCTGCAGATGTCAGCCCACGCATCACCATGTGCTTGTAGACTGGTTTGGTGATCTGCTGGGTGTCAGGACTCCTTCTATAGCTTTATGGAATTGATCAATGAGGAAAACCTCAAAAATGTGTACGTGGAATCTTCACCAACCCAGTAAGAATATAGGACACGGCCCCACAGTGGCGTCCAGCTCACTCTTTTGCAGTGTACTGAAGGCTTCGAGCAAACTTCAGCAGATTAACACCATAAAGGACAGGCTACCTGTACGTTGCACCCTTAGGAACTGGGCATTTTCAGCTGCCACGGTACACACGAATCCTATATATGACATAACCTTGTGTGGCTTAGTCTGCACACTTTATTGGGCTGGGTGGGTCCAGGATCTCTGTGGAGAGAAGAGAACTGATGGTAGTGCCAACGGTGGACCATCAGTGAAAGCACACTACATCAAACTACTTCTGCCTCCATGCCTCCTGGATGGAATTGTGTGTACCCATCTTGGCTTATTTGATGGCTGCCACTAGACAGAAAGGCTTATTTACTTGTTTGCTGAATAACAAATACAAGAAACAAATTTTTACTACCTGATAGAAATCATTACCAAGTCTGGGCCTGAGGCCAAAGGATTTTTTTTTCATATATATCAGCATATCAGGGTCTCTTTGAAATATCCTTATTACAGTAGAATGTGAACAAAGGATTGTTACATTTTGTAATGTCAGATTTTCTTCAGTATTACAGTATTTCCTGATTCATGACATAAGTAGGATTGACTTCAGGCTTCTATTGGGTTTAAGCATCATTTAAAAATATTAAATAAAACATCAATTTGTAAATGATGCCTAAGCTTATAAAGTAAATTGCTTACCCAGTATATAGCCCATTAATTCAGTTTGCAGCTAATTTGTTCAGAGCATCCTTTAGATCTGTCTGGGTTCAATTTTATTTTGCTTTCCTGTTTTTTTGTTTTTTGTGTGGATGGAGTCAGAGTACTAGTGCCTTGGGAGTATTGAGACATGTCATGTAACATCTTGATAGTGTGGATAAGCAGGTCCCTGGTTTAGTTCTGAATTTCAGATGGTATGTTTAGTTTGTTTCAAGATGTTAGAGAAAGTAAATCAGGTTGTTAAAAAATGTGTTAACTTCTGTAAAGCAGTACAAAAAACATCTATAGGCAAATGAAAGAGACAAGAAAATATGTATTTTTGGAAATAACCCTCTATATTCAGAAAAGATTGCTTGATGATTTGAAAGACTGGGTATAGAAGAAGTCGTTTATATTAAGGATCTCTAGATTATATTTTCTTCCCTTTCAGATTTGAAACTGGTTTTTTCATCTTATTCAGGAAAGCCTAAGAAAAATTGGTATCTAGAATAGGATTTTAGTTATAGAGAATAGCTGTCTGTGACAATTCTTTTTTTTTTTTTTTTTTGAGACAGTCTTACTCTTTCACCTAGGCTGGAGGGCAATGGCATGATCTCGGCTCACTGCAGCCTCCACCTCCTGGGTTCAAGAAATTCTCCTGCCTCAGCCTCCTAAATAGCTGGGATTACAGGCACGCACCAGCACGCCTGGCTAATTTTTGTATTTTTGGTAGAGACGGGGTTTCACTGTGTTGGTTAGGCTGGTCTAAAACTCCTGACCTCGTGATCTGCCTGCCTTGGCCTCCCAAAGTGCTGGGATTACAGGCGTGAGCCACGGTGCCCAGCCGACAATTCTTAAATCACAGTTTCAGCTTGATTTAGGTTCTTAAGTCGTAGGTAGTTTTCTTAATGCTAGTTTGGACCCTGGAATTTTAATTATGGAAATTTCTTAGCCTGTTCCCAGAGTTGGCATATTATTGCCTTACTTTTTGAGTTTTATTTTCTTCTACTAAAATAATACTTTGACAAAGAAGTACTAAGAGACTCTGTGCTATGGGAAACATATGCAGTGTTTTTTTTGTGGATGTGTTGGGCACCAAGGCATAATATATTTCACAAACATATTGGACCATTTTAAAATTTTCATTATGTTCATATCTGTTGCGAGGATAACTAAGAATTTATTATAATAGATTGAAGTATCTATAGAGTTGAGAAGACCCACTCTTAGCACTCCTTTGTGGAGTCTGTGGAGTTGAGAAGACTCACCTTTAGCACTCAGTAGAATATTCAACACTGAGCTGTGCGTGGTGGCTCACGCCTATAATTCCAGCACTTTGAGGGGCCAAGGTGGGTGGATCACCTGAGGTCAGGAGTTCGAGACCAGCCTGGCCAACATGGTGAAACCCCGTCTCTACTAAAAGTAAAAAAATTAGCTGGGCGTGGTGGCACTTGCCTGTAGTCTCAGCTACTTGGGAGGCTAAGGCAGGAGAATCACTTGAACCTGGGAGGCAAAGGTTGTAGCGAGCCAAGATCACACCACTGTACTCCAGCCTGAGGTGACAGAGTGAGACGCTCTCTCAAAAAAAAAATAATAATATTCAGCACTCCTAGGTTCAATATTCTGTATTTTATAGATTATACCAGGGTTTCCTATGTTTGCTAAAGCCTGCATTTTAATGTAAAAATGAACCGTTTTATTTTTTTTTAAATCTAACTATTTTTATTCTTTGGATTTTGAAGGCAATCCAGCATCCAGCAGATGAGAAGTTGCAAGAGAAGGCATGGGGTGCAGTTGTTCCACTAGTAGGCAAATTAAAGAAATTTTATGAATTTTCTCAGAGATTAGGTAAGTTGAAAGTTTTGTTAATTGTGACTTGCCTAGTGAAAAAGATGTTTATTCATTCCAGAAGTTTATTTTATGTTCATAATGCTGAATTTGGTTTAGTATCTGTTTATAAGTAAAGCAAGTTCGTTAGACCGTAAAATTATAGTGTAATCTTCTTTCAGCCCTGGCCTTTTAATTCATTTAGACCATTTTTGTCCACAAGTTATTTTCCTCATCATCTGTGATTTTACATACATGAATCTGAGCATTGATTTTAAATGATTTTAAGAACACAAAAGTTTAACCAAGGGCCTGAGGATTACTTTCCCATATATGGGAAAAGGACTTACTGTAGAGATGGAGAGAGATTCTACCAAGTGATTTCTCATAATAGGACCCTTTAGCATCCAAAGAAATCAAAGAGGTTTTCTTGAAATTTTCACTGGTTACACTCAATTCATGTATATAAAACTGTAGAAGATGAGAAAGAGGCTGGGCATGCTTGCTCCTGTCTGTAATCCCATCACTTGGAGGCTGAGGTTGAGAGATTGCTTGAGCTCAGGAGTTCAAGACCAGCCTGGGCAACATGGCAAAATCCCGTCTTTAAAAACAAACAAACAAAAATAAGCTGAGTGTGGTGGCACTTGCTTGTGGTCCCATCTACTCTGGAGGCTGAGGTGGGAGGATCACCTGAGCCCAGGAGGTCAAGGCTGCAGTAGCCATGATGACACCACGGCACTCCAGCCTAGGCGACACAGTGAGACTCTGTCTTGAGAGAGAGCGAGCGAGCGAGAGGGCTAGTGATATACAAAGTTTGGGAAAAATTATTCAAAGTTCAGAATTGTGTCTTCAATATGAGCAGGCAAAATTGGAACTCCCTTTGTTGGAGGAGGAAGAGGCAGAGCAGGTAAGATTTAGCCAGTTAGCTCTTTGTGTGATTTTAAAGTTGTAAATTTGAAGCACTTTATTTTGTACAGTTATAGGCACAGGAGAGGAATAGTATAGATGTGTGTCAGAACGATTTGAATGTAGTTAAAACACATACTTTCATAAAGTTTGAATTTTTGAAACGTATAAATGTTACTAATTAATCATAAGAAAATCATACTGTGATTGTTTGTTTTTTAAATCCATAAGTCAGAAACCAGGGGGTATATACTATAAGAGTGAAGTCAAACTGGGGACCCAAAAGCTAAATTTAAACTTGAGATTTGATTTGTCTGGCCCACATAATTTTAAAATTTTCTAATTAGTTGCCAGGTTTAACACTTGGTCACTGTATGGTTTTGGTTTTTTTTTTTTTAAGCCTCCAACTAGCAATAATTAATCTGCATGTTAGTGAGCCAGAGCCACATGGCAAACCATCTCTGTCTCCGTTAGTTAGGAATTGTGCTTTCTAGTTTGTAGTAAGTTTTTATTGTTTCATGTTTTTTAATACCTTACTCTATATTTGCTACTTGGCCATTTGTATTTGTAACTTCTGAAGTTTAAGTTCCATTTTAAAAAAATGTCTATGTTCTGAAAAAAAGTGAGATAATTGCTGTTTTTCCTTTAGATGCAGTACGGCCTGTTAAATACAATGTTAAGACAGACAATAGTTTGGATAGAAATACTGTGTAAACTATCTTTTTCTTACTGGAAATAAGAATTGTAGTTTATTTTCCCAATTTTAGAATTAGTTATTTTACATTATTTGTCTTTCAATCAAGTGTCTCCATAGTCTGTAGCTTTGTACTTTATAACCCAGTCAGCCTAGGTTTTCTGTCTTGGTTGTCTTGTCTACTATATACAGCTTTTCTTATGCTGGTTTCTGGCTGCATTTATAGTTAAATTGCTTTTGATGGTGCTCAGGTGCTATTCAAGCTCATCTTGGCCTTTTAGCATATCCCAATAAACAAAGAATACTTGTAAAATAGGCCAAACTAGTTGAATGTAAGTGTTATATTTTTACCATGGGAATTAATCGGTCTCGTGGTGTATGTCCCATCATGGGTGCTATTCCAGCACAGACAGCACCGTGGAGCAGCATGCAACTGTGAAGACGCACATGATCCTTCAGAATCTTGCAGTTCTAAGGAGAAGATTTCTTGGCCTGAGCACTACAGATACACCAGGGGTTATACTTCAGAAGAAGGACCCTGATCCCTTGCCAGTTTGCATACTTATAGTGGGACAGGGCAAGGATTACCTGCTTAATTTGAAGATACTCAGTTTTGCTGATAGGGTCTAACCACACTGCCCTGGTAAACTTGCCATACTTGCTTGTTCTGTACTTGCTTGTTTTGTTCTGAGGCCTTGGAGCCCCTCCTGTTGAGGCAGATACCTAAGGGAAGGTTGTATGGTCAGGCAGTAGGACAAACTGCTTTGTCTCCCCTCCTCAGTCTTCCTCATGCTTTAGGGGCTTACATTAGGGACTGCCTCCAAGGGTCATAATGAATAAGTCCCTCCAACGTGTTAGCTTCTTTTCACTGGGCAGAATTTATCAAAATGTATTTTAAAGGCCCCAAATGCCCACCGTAATTGTGGTCATGACTCTTGGTTGTCTTAAATCCTTTACAATCCATGTCCTCAGGTTCTCTTCTGAGGATTTGAGAGCAGTTGGTGAGAATAAACGACTTATCTCTATAGGGAAACTCTCCCCAGGCAGGGGCCTCCTCTTTCTAGTCAAGTAGTTATTCTTCCCTGTCCTAGCTTTTGGACTGATTTGTCATCTTTATTATTCCTTCTGGTTGTCTTTTCCTTGCAAGCACCTTCTATGGTTTTGGCTCCTGCACTTATCTACCAGCTTCCTTTAGTTCTTCCAGAATTTAGGGCTTAATAGCCTATTAATTTTCTCCTGGTCATCTGCTTTTTAAAAAATCATAATCTTATGGTTTTGTTTTAGGAGCTTCATCTAAGTCCAATCCCAGTCATCTTTTCTTTGTTCTCTCTTTCTCTCCAACTCATCCAGAGACCTCTGGGACATTTTCTGTGGGTTCTTTGTCTCCAGTTTCTCTCTTGAGACAGATCATTGTAGGCTAGTAGGACTGACTTGTGCCGGCACAGGCCTGCAGGGTGAGGCTGATCTAGCGGCTTCAAAGGCAGATTAGTAGATTTATCATCTTGAGTTTCCCTTTCATCGTAGATCTACCATTGAGGGCCTCAGCCATTCATAGACAAAAGTTCTGCAACTAATGGTCACTGACCATCCCAACTTAGCCAAGCAACCTGACTCCAATCCCAAAAGTGGTAGAGAACTTGGAATGCTGAAATTAACCCTGAGACTTGATAAAGTCTAGGCAAATGCATTTTTCTTTTTTTCTTTAACAGACTATAATAATATTTTGTAAAAATATTTTTTCTGTTCTGTGTCTCAGTTTTCCACTTAACACCAACATATAGACTGAATCTTCGGAGAAGTAAACCATTTTTAAAATATAACCCAAAATGTTTGACTTTTAATTGATCTTCTTCACATCCACTGTTACACCTCGATACACCATCCATACCCCTACAGTCCATGCTCCACACTGCAAATGAAGTAGCATTTTAAAATGCTAATCTGATGATGCCACTGCTCTGCTTAAATGATTTCTCCAGGGACGTTAGGATGCCAAAGCCGGAGTACTTAATGTGGTACACAAATTCTGTGTGTATTAATTATCTTAGTCCTAGTTACCCTCCTGATTGCTCTCTGTACTCTTATATTGGTGGTCTTGCAGTTCCTCAAGTATGTCATGCTCTTCTCAGCTCAGGGTCTGGCTCCCTGCCTTTCTGTCTGCAAACCCATGTTCATCCTTACTACATACTTCAGTCTCAGTCCAGGAGTCACTTATTCAGGGAAATCTTTTCCTAGGCCTTCCATTAGGTGAGGTCTTATTTTTATACCTTTCCACTGTACTGTGTACTTATTTTCAGCACATATCACAACTGTAATCATTTGTCTTCTCTATATATAATAAGGCTCCATATGGGCACAGGGAGCATGTCTGTCTATATCCATTTTCCCAGTGCTTGGCACAGGGTAGCCAGTCAATACATTTTCTGACTTACTGGAAAAAAAAAAGGATAATAGCTGTCATTTAGAGTTATTGTGTGGGTGAGAAATAATGTCTGTGAAGAGATAGTTTAGTACCTGGTATCTAACAGACACATAAGTACCTACTGTTGTTTTTAATCAGTAGATTAATATTTTGTAGGGTTACAGAAGTAATTGGTACTATTGGTAGTAATCAGGAGGTTAATGTTTTATAAGGTTACAGAAAGCTACGTACAATGTTGCTTTATTTCAGAGAGTTCATTGTGGTAGAAAGAACAGGGCTTTGGAGTCAGAAATACGTAGCATTTGCTAGCTATAACTTTGGGCTCTAAGCTCTTTGAAACTCATTTGACCCATCTGCAATGACCATGTCATAGTTGATGGTGAAAATCAAATGGGAGACTATATTCAGTGTACAGTAGATGTTGACTCGTATGTAAATCTTCGTAAATAGGAAAACTGGGTTTTTTTTTAAGTTACGGGCTGATGACCTGACATAAAGTTTTAAATTTATCATTAATATTTGTTTATTAATCTGACATTTATTAACGTCAGATCATAATTTAACTCTGTAAGCTCTTATTTTCTCTGACTGGAATCTAGCAGCATTTTCCAGTTCTGTGATCTGTAACTGAATTCGTTTGATTTGTATGGCTTTTTGAAATATTGAAATGAAATATTAGTATTTACTATTTAATATTAGTATTACTATTTAGTATTTCCATTATCAAACACGGTATTTATTAGCCTAGCATCCCAAAAGTAGCACTTATTTCAAAGGGACCATTTTGCTCATGTAATGAATTAGAATATTTATATTGTAGCCTTTAAATGTCAAGTTCTAAGACAAGAAGTTTATTGAACCACATATTTTGTTCTCTTTAGTAACGGAAAGTAAACAGTTTGTGTTTATAAATGAAAAACATATTCAAAGTATGAGAAATTGGTAATTGATTCATAGGCATATACAAACAGTGTGGACACAGTGCCATTGAAGAAAGTTACTCAGTTGTAGATAATAGTTACCATTTCATAAAACCAAATTCCACACTGTGTGAAATTATTAAAGTAATATAAAATTTGCCCTTTGATTCTGGTGTTGAATTCAAATTCACTTCTGCACTATTTTCATTCTGGGTTTACAGAATTATAAACCCTTGAATTAGTCCCTTTAAGGTATTTTGTTAAACGGTATTCATAATGTGTGCAGTACATTTGTAATGGCAACATTTAAACTTCTTAATTAGTTTTTATTATATTTAGGTCATCTGTTTTTTAAAGGGAACTTTTCTGGGAATTAACATTTATGGATTGTTCACTTTTTAATAAACAAATATCACACAGATACAAACAATTTTTTTTCAATTTTTTTCTTTAGAAGCAGCATTAAGAGGTCTTCTGGGAGCCTTAACAAGTACCCCATATTCTCCCACCCAGCATCTAGAGCGAGAGCAGGCTCTTGCTAAACAGTTTGCAGAAATTCTTCATTTCACACTCCGGTTTGATGAACTCAAGGTAGAATTATCTGTTGGCCCTGATTGTTATGAAAATCATGAATCTTTTAATGAGTACTGGGAGAAAAAGCTGGGAAACATTGTTAAAACATATTTAAATGATGTCTGCTAGACCTTAATAAAAATGGAAAACTGGATTTAGAAATTATGACTGGTCTTTTGATATATGGCAAAGAGCAAATTACTGAGTATTCAGTCTCAATCTTTTTTTATTTTTTGAGACAGAGTCTTGCTTTGTCACTGAAGGTAGAGTGCAGTGGCATGATCTCAGCTCACTGCAACCTCTGCCTCCTGGGTTCACATGATTCTCCCACCTCAACTTCACGAGTAGCTGGGATTACAGGCATGTGCCACCATGCCTGGCTAATTTTTGTATTTTTAGTAGAGACAGGGTTTCACCACGTTGGCCAGGCTGATCTGGAACTCCTGACCTCAGGTGATCCACACCATCTCAGCAGTCTTCATTTAACTTTGTTTAAAAATTATCTCCGAAACAAAATGTTGAGCTTCTTTTCTAATGTTTTTTCTTTTCTGCTGACACCTCCTGCCCCCGTTTTTCAACACTGTTTTATATTAAAATGTTGCTAAAATTTGTTTTTTTCTCCCTTCCTTCTTTCCCGCTTTCTTCCTTTCTTTCTGTTTCTTTTTTCATCTGTCATTGTTTATAGTATTTGGAACTATAAATACCTTGTTAAAAAGAATGAATGTAGAGCAATAAGCACTAGGTCTCATATCAAGAGACCTGAGTTCCAGTTTATACTCTGCCACAGTAACCCCAGTGATGAGATGTTGGGCAGGTCCTTTGGTTTTTCAGGGCCTCTGGTACCCTGTCTAGAAAATGGAAGAGCTGGATTCCAAACTTCAGCATTTTATAGTTGTATCACAGTCAGATTTGTATGTAAAATTCTAGGTTGAGGATTGCTCTGTTGACCATATCTACATTCTTTTATCGTAGTAACTAAAAACAAGTGCCTAAACAGTCCTTTTTGTTTTTGTTTGATAAACAAGCTTTTAGTACATTACCTGAAATTAACTGAAAAGAAAAGGGAAAGTATACTGCCTGTGGTCTTCCGTTTTATATGTTCAGTAAGGACTGAGTACAGTTATAAGCCACCTTAGATTATACCAGTTCTAGTTCTTAAAATGATACTATGAATTATGCAATGTTTTATACTAATTAAAACTGAAGATTTTTCACTTAATTTTTTACATTAGCATTTAGTACATAACATTTTTTTTCCCACAAATGTCTTATTCAGATGACAAATCCTGCCATACAGAATGATTTCAGCTATTATAGAAGAACATTGAGTCGTATGAGGATTAACAATGTACCGGTAAGTTAATGCTTTGAATTAGGGGGATGGTAAGAATAACTTAGTGCTCAGCCTGTTCATTTTATTATTTTGTTTGTTCATTCAGATAGCGTTAAAGCTAGTAATAAAGATAGTAATTATGGGCAGCCACAGCTGTAGGAAGAAAAGCAAACTGTAACAGACTGTATGGTATTTACCTATTTTTCTTCACAGTCTCTTAAATTCCCACAACTACTTCAATAAAATTGCTTGTCTGTATAACATTGATGCTTATAAAATTTCGCGATGTACTCTCATTTTAACTGTACAGAAATTTTGTGAGTTCATAGTTACGAGTTTTTTGTCTCCATATTCTTAGAATGGAAGTCTTAGAGAGAAATTATCGTGAGTTAATTTCTCGGAGAGAAATCTTGAACCCAAGTCAGTTTTCCTCCAAGAAATTAATGGTTAATGCTGGCACGAGGGGATAGTGAGGTCATGGCCTATTAACACTTCTGTGCCTGATATGGCTGTTTGAGAAAATGGCTTGTGCCTGCTCCTTGGCTAGTATAGCATTTCTTCTGGCTTCTTTAGGTCTGTTAACCTCTTACCATCCTCCTTTTAAGCTGTTTATTACTCTTTTCTACACCAAGGAACTAAGTACCGTAAGTAAAACTAGAGCGGAAGAAAATATTAGCTTGTTCTCTGTGTATTCTGAGAACCTTATAATTGTTCTGAAAAATTTCAAAGATCAACCCTTGTTTCAAATAGATAGTTTAATAGAGAAGTACTGTAACTATGTAAGGAGTGATAAGTGGCATAAGAGATTTAAAATATATATATATCAAAGACTATCATTCATTTTCTTTTTCCTTGAAAAAATATTTTAGGAAGCACTTGCACTAAGGCACTGAGTTGGAGGAAAAGATTCCTCTTTATGAAACATCTGTTACTTGCACCAATTTGATTTTTGCATTGACCAGTTCCTGGTGTGAGACTGACCTTAACATCTGTCTTTTTTATACCTACCATGTAAAATAAGATAAAAGCAAAGCAGCCAATCGTATACTATATCCGTCCTTGCCATCACTTAAGGCTAAAGACATTAGTCATCTTGGTTCTTCCTTTTACCCTCAATAATTACAGGTAAAAGCCAATTGTTTTCAGAAATATCTCTGAAATGTCTTCTCCATCCCCCTTTCCATCTCGTCCTCCCACTGTTCCAACAGAGAGCCTAATTCCCACTCTTTCTGCAGTCATTCTGCACAGTATAACTCATTTTTCGGACCTACAAGTCTTTTTCCATTTTCTTACAATCCACCCATGATGATCAGTTAATTTTCTTTAGGAAATTGACTTAGTTGTCATTCCTTTCATCTAACACTCTAAATGGCTCCCCATTCCATATGGAAGAAAAATATGAACTTAAGCTAGCATTTAAGGTACTATACAATACAGTCTGACCCCAACCTGTATCTTTCATTGGTTACAGCCACTTATTACACTGAATATGCTGAATTACTCTCTAGGGAGTCACTTGAAAACATACTCTTTCCCCTGCCAGATTGGAATACCTTGTTTACCTGCCCAGTATCACCTGCAAAAGGATAACTCTTCTTCTCCTTAGTTTCTTCTATTCCAACTTAATGTTCCTCTGACTCCCTTTTTGTGTTATCACCTGTTAGAATCTTACCGTGGATGTTGTATGGATACTTAATTGTTCATGATGGAGGACAGGGTACAATTTTATAATCATTTTTCTGTCCTCCATAACATTTAGAATCTCTTGTATGTAGTAGTTCATCAAGGTTTTATTTAGATTCCTTAATATCATTTAAAATATTTTTGAAGAGGTTAATCTTTTAAAAAAAAAATAACTTCAGATCATTTGTAGTCTTTTTTTTTTTTTTTTTTTTTTAAGAATATTTAAGTATTATCGATACATGAGAGTCTAAAATGTAATTGAGGCAGGCACCCTACCTGGGTCCTTTTATAATTGTTATTGTATGTAATAATTTGTGAACTAACATCAAATGCTTTTACCTTCCCCACAGGCAGAAGGAGAAAATGAAGTAAATAATGAATTGGCAAATCGAATGTCTTTGTTTTATGCTGAGGCAACTCCAATGCTGAAAACCTTGAGTGATGCTACAACAAAATTTGTGTCAGAGGTAAGCATTGCCTAGGCAGCTGCTCTGTGTTGTTACTCATCCTCCTGTTGCAGACGTGATCTCAGCAAGCCCAAGACATTAAATACCGTCTTGAAGCTAACAGACTCCCAGATGTATGTGTTGAGTCCTGACTTTTTTTCTGAGACCCACGTGTGCACACCTGTCCACCTATTTGCAGTGTCTCTGGAGTGGTTGACACCTCAGTGATATCTGATGGTACGGCCAAACCAAACTCTGGGTTGCCTTTTGCAACCCTGCCCTTTCTTTAGTTTTTGCTTTTTCAATTAATAGTACCAGTGCAGGCAAAAACTTACAAGTTATGTCATCCTAAATTCTTCTTTTTTTTTTTTTTGAGACGGAGTTTCACTCTTGTTGCCCAGGCTGGAGTGCAATGGCACAATCTCGGCTCACCACAACCTCTGCCTCCCGGATTCAAGCGATTCTCCTGCCTCAGCCTCCCTAGTAGCTGGGGTTACAGTCATGTGCCACCACGCCTGGCTAATTTTGTATTTTTAGTAGAGACAGGGTTTCTCCATGTTGGTCAGGCTGGTCTTGAACTCCCGACCCCAGGTGATCCACCCGCCTCAGCCTCCCAAAGTGCTGGGATTACAGGCGTGAGCCACCACGCCTGGCCATCATCCTGAATTCCTTTCCATACCTCACTCCCTACATGTATTCCATCAAACAGTCTTGTTGGCTTTCCCTCCAAAATATTAATATATCATGAATATGAAAAGTTAGTTTCTTGCCACCAGCCACATCAGACTTCTCATCTGGATTACTGCATTTGTGTCCTGACCATTCTTATTTCCTCCACTCTTGCCCCAGTACAGTCCTTTCTCCATAGAGCAGCCAAGTAATCTTAAAACATAAACCACGTTCCCTCCCTCCTCCATGTAAAATGTTCCCAGTGACTTCCTAGTACCCTTAGGATAGAATCCAACTATTGCATAGCCTGTAAAACTCTACACCTTTGACCCCCTCTCTGCATTGTTGCAGTTGTTCTTACACAGCTGGAATGCAAGTGCCTTTCGGAAGAGTACTGCCTTCGCTATCTTGCTCGTAGCTGTATCCCCAGTGCTTGGAACAGTTGCTTAGGGTCTAGTGCATTATTTAGAAAATTAGGAGTAGGAACCAGGTTTTAAAGTTGCTAATTTTTCACATTATGCTAAATTTTTAATTGTGCTTAAGTAATAACTGTTTGTTACTTTTACTTTCTTTGTTCTTCATATACTTCTACAGAATAAAAATTTACCAATAGAAAATACCACAGATTGTTTAAGCACCATGGCTAGTGTATGCAGAGTCATGCTGGAAACACCGTGAGTATCAGCTGATCTTTTTCACTTTAACAGTGCTGTTGAGATGACTGATATTTCAAAACATGTTCATATATGAACATGTTTTATCTGGAAAGTAGAAAGTAAGTATATTCCAAATATTGAATATTAATATGTGAACAAACTTAAAATAATTTGGCTATTTAATGTAACTTCTGGTTAAGCATAAAATAGAGTTAGTTGGTCTTCCGGTACCTCAGACTAGTCAGTCTGACTCAGACTCTTAGTTCTCTTCTCAGAACAGAAATGTGGTGGTGGATTTTTGGTGGCTGGAATGTAGGAGAAGGGCTTTAGAGCTCCTTGGTTATACTTACCATAAATGTTATTTTTCCATATTTAGTAAAGAATCTTACCCTTTGGCCAAAGGGCTGGAATTATTCTTCTGTTTATCCCTTTGTCTCTCAATTATTAATTGTCACTCTTTTTTGTTTTTTTCAACGCGAACCTGAATTCTTTTTCTTTTCCTCTCCTCTCTAAAGCATTTATGATGTAGGATACAGTGTGTCCTGGCTAGATTTTTCCTGTTAGCAGGCAGAAAGAATCCCTCCTGGATTCCAGAATTATAAATACAGTCATGTGCTGCTTAATGACGTTTTGGTCAACAATGGGCCACATATACGATGGTCCAAAGCACTATACTGTACATCTTCTCATTGGAAAACCTTATGAAATAGGAGGGCAACTATCAGCATAATCCTCTTCCTTCCCCCCACCACCAGCTTCAGGCAGTGAGGTCCTGGGAAATGAAGGGACAGTATCCATGTGCTTGGATGTCTCTATCTTGGTTCCGTACTCTTTCTGCTGTGATATACTGCCTTCTGTATATAGATAAAAGTTCAGTTTTCTTTTTCACAAATGAGAGGAGAATATGATTGAGTTTTAGTAAAATTGATATCCAGTAATACTGTAATTTATTTAGATCAAGTTAGTCCCTAAATAGCAAACCTGCTTGCTCTATTAAGCTAGTGATTTTTCATCATAGGTGGTAACAGCCTTTATGTAGCACCCATTCTCTAAAATTGTTGCTGTCAGTCTAGCAGAGGAGTAATACACTAATGTGGGTGCAGATATTATAGAAACCAGAATACATGGGTGATGACTGCTCCACTCACCATCTTCTCATCTCTCTGGGGATCTCATTGTGGAGTAAGGGGCATAATGTTAGTATCCCTTTTAGAGATCAAAGCGGCAAGTCAGCGTCAGCTTAAAGGAGAATCACCTCATTAAAGAATTTTGTATCTCTTTCAGGGGGTTGGTATGGAAAGGAAAACAGACATAAGATTTGAATGTATCAGTGTGGCTACTTGTGAACATACTGCATTCAACCGATTGATAGAAATTTGAATAAAATATTCCAGAAGAGGTTTTTCTTGTGCGTGTGTTTTAAAAAGAATTTTGTAATGCACTTCTTCCATGCATATCTTATCTACTCTTCAGGGAATACAGAAGCAGATTTACAAATGAAGAGACAGTGTCATTCTGCTTGAGGGTAATGGTGGGCGTCATAATACTCTATGACCACGTACATCCAGTGGGAGCATTTGCTAAAACTTCCAAAATTGATGTAAGTTATTGTTTAATGTAAGTAATTTCAAACGAGTTTCTCCATGGAAACCATGGGATTTTATTTTATGATAAGAGCTAGCAAACTCTCACAAAACTCAGATTTATAGTTTGTGAAATGGTGGACTTTCATCTCCTCTGTCCTTGTGCTGTATTTCTTGTGGCCTGTATTCAGGTGGAATAGAATGATCAAAGGATGACTGTACTGTCTATTGAGTACCTCCTGGAAGGCTTCTACTACATATTTGGCAATATAAATAAATAATTAAATATAAGAAATTTTGAATCATGTCCTTTGGCCAAAGGCCATTTCACATATAAAATGTTTATTTCAGAATACTTATGAAAAGTCAGTAGTGCTGCCAGGTGTGCTGGCTCATGCCTGTAGCCTAAGCACTTTGGCAGGCTGAAGCAGGAGGATCACTCGAGCCCAGGAGTAGAAGACCAGCCTGGACAGCATAGTGAGGACCCCATTTATTACAAAAAAAGAAAAAATTAGCCAGGTGTGGTGGCACACATTGGTAGTCACAGCTACGTTGAGCGGCTGGGAGTCCAGCCTGCAGTGAGCCATGATCACACCACTGCATTCGGTCTGGGTGACAAGAGAGAGACCCTGTCTTGAAATTAAAAAGACAGCCAGTAGTGATGCTCCAGTGGAAAAAAATGAAGACTTTATGTATTTTCCCTCCCCTACCCAGTCATAATAATTTGTGACTATAGTTGGCTCTCTGCTTTTCTTCTCTCTGTAAAAGTTTGTATTAGAAATAGTTTTCTAATTTCTCTACTTCATAGTTTCTTTCCCCACCCTCTCACATCTAGTTCTTTAATGTTTGGTGAGAATTGTCTTCCTGTTTCCCTTTCATAGCTAGTTTAGGCTCTTAGCATTTCGGATCTTGATTACTGATTGCTAGCCAAGCTTCCTGCCTTCATGTACACCTGTCATATGTAAAGAGAAATGAGTTAATATTTACTGTACGGTTGCCATGTCCCAGGAATTTTACATTTGTTCTCCCTTGTGACTCTGCAAATACTCTAAGGATGTTAGGTGTCATCTCCCTTTACTGACAGGGCAACTAAAGTTTAGCAGATTAAGTAACAGAATTGCTAGTAGGCCGGGTGCAGTGGCTTATGCCTGTGATCCCAGCACTTGGGCAGGCCGAGGCAGGCGGATCACCTATAAAGTTAGGAGTTCAAGACCAACCTGGCCAACATGGTGAAACCTCATCTCTATTTTAAAAAAACGCAAAAATTAGCTGGGCATGGTGGCACACATCTGTAGTCCCAGGTACTCGGGAGGCTGAGGTGGGAGAATCGCTTGAACCCAGGAGGCAGAGGTTGCAGTGAGCTGAGATCGCACCATTGCACTCTAGCCTGGGTGACAGAGCGAGACTCCATCTCAAAAAAAAAAAGAAAAATTGCTAGAAAATGGTAGAACCCACATTTCTCTGGCTTCCAAAGCCTGTGTTCTTTCTGCTGCATTATGCTTTTTTACAATAACCAGGCTGATATATGTTAAATACCATTGTCATCAAGTGGTTACCTTTTAAAATAACCTGTGAGTCCCCTGCTGCCAGGCATAACAGTTCATATGACTCTTCCTGGCTTTCAGCCTCTCATAACTCCAGGTCCAGCACTGAAAAATTCCTATCTGTGCTCTGTGTGATACTTTATTCTGTGGGGTTTCTCTACCTGAAAGCTCCTGTTTTCTTTAACATACTCACTCTGTCCTTTCTTTTTTATTTTATTATTGTTTTTTGAGATGACGTCTTGCTCTGTCGCCCAGGCTGGAGTGCAGTGGTACAGTCTCGGCTCACTGCAAGCTCCACCTCCCGGGTTCATGCCATTCTCCTGCCTCAGCCTCCCTAGTAGCTGGGACTACAGGCGCCCGCTACTGCGCCTGGCTAATTTTTTTGTATTTTTAGTAGAGATGGGGTTCCACTGTGTCAGGCAGGATGGTCTCGATCTCCTGACCTTGTGGTCTGCCTGCCTCGACCTCCGAAAGTGCTGGGATTACAGGCGTGAGCCATCGCACCTGGCCCATTCTGTCCTTTAAATCGCCACTCAGCACCTTTTCCAGGAAGTCTTCCCTTAGCAAACCCTTTGTTTTTCATTGCATGTGTGGTACTTTAGTTTGACTGATTTTGTTCTCACTAAGTGAGAATAATAACACTTAGGTTGGGTTTTTTCTGTTCTAAGAATAATTAATTTGACATAGTATGTTATCTCATGGGTTCCATAGTTATGGTCTTGGTTTATTTTACTATTTTGAAAAGGAATGTTACATGAAAAAAATGGCTGTTTTACCTTTTCTGTTTTCTTTTTCTTTAGATGAAAGGTTGTATCAAAGTTCTTAAGGACCAACCTCCTAATAGTGTAGAAGGTCTTCTAAATGCTCTCAGGTGTGTATATGTACGCATACATATGTACGGAAAAAATCTGTAAGGAAAATCGTTTATGTAAAGAAAATGCATTAAGTGTGAATAGGATATAAAAATAAGTGTTCAAGCTGGAAATATGAAGATCCTATTTTGTTTACTGATAATCTCGCTTCCAAACACTGGTGACAGTATTTACGATGAGGAATGCGTGGGACACATGACAATAGCAGCTTCATTTTCTGGTTGAAGATTTTGGCTTTTACTTGTTGCTTCTCTTGAAACAGAGATTGCTTGTTTTTTTAATAAAAGTATTATATGCCAGTTATAAATAAAATTCAGAAAACATAAGAAAATGTAAATAAAAAGAAATAATGTAATCTCACCATTTTGAGATAAGCCACTATTAGCCTATAGCCTTCTAGAGTTTTTTCTTTACATATGTAGATAATAGCTCTATGTAGTACTTATCTTCTTACAAAATAATATCATACAAAGTGGCTTGTAACTAACTAGCTCTTTCCTCTTAATAGAACGTAATTACATTTGTGTTCAGACTTGTGTTCTTTTTATGTATTTCTTATAATAAAAATTAAGTAGTCATTATTTAATGTCTGTTCTTAGATTAGTTTTACCTAATTTAGTTGCTCAAATTTCTACGAATGCTAGAACATTATTTATTTCTTTATTTAGAGATGGAGTCTTGCTCTGTCACTCAGGCTAGAGTACAGTGGCACGATCTTGGCTTATTGCAACCTCCGCCTCCCAGGTTCAAGTGATTCTGCTGCCTCAGCCTCCCGAGAAGCTGGGATTACAGGCGTGTGCCTGTATTTTCTAATTTTAGTAAAGACGGCATTTCACCATGTTGACCAGGATGGTCTCAAACTCCTGACCTCAAGTGATCCACCCACCTCAGCCTCCCAAAGTGCTAGGATTACAGGCGTGAGCCACTGTGCCCAGCTGCTAGAACATTTTTAAATGAAAATCTCAGTATTTTATAATATTTGACTACAGAGATTTAATTGGTAGTATTCACATGACATAAAAGATGACAACCCATTACTTGATTTTTGGGGGGTTTAAACACAAAAATTACATGAACACAGAAATATTTATAGAATGATATTTACCACATAAAATGTAGGCTGTATCATTTCAGCTAAGTGGAACTGTCAAATGATTTTATTAAGATTATGAAAAAATGTTTAAAAATAGTTTTTAAAAGATTATGAAAAGTGTTGCATAAGCGGTTACTGCCTGAATAAAGGTGATCTATTCTAAATGAACATCAGCAAGATTAAGGAACATAATTTAAAATTCTTATAATGTCAAACTATTGTAACCATAAGCTTAGTTTTTAGAATTCTGTATTCTTGGGGTTTTTACAGTGCATACTTCAGTGGTTTTCCCAATATTTAATGATATCATGAGTCTTTCCTCCTTGGTTTCTTTCTGAATACTCCCTGTGTCTCAGGCAGCCTGATTTTTTCTCCCAAGCCTTTGTCTTTTTGATTGGTCAGGCTCTTTGAAGCCAGCAAGTGGCAGGAAATCTTTTTCAAAAACTTAGAGGTAATTGAGATCTAGGAAGTTTTAGGATTCTTTCTTCAGCTTGAAGGTAGTCTGCCTAACTCAGAATCCTACTTTTCACTTTAAAGGTAGTTCAGTTTCCTTTTCCTTAGAATGAAAGCAGAGGAGGCCAGTGATGGCGAGTGAAAGACAGGGTTGAAGTCTCCCACAAAGTAATCTGTGTTTGAGGGAGAGGGGAGGGAAGGAAAGCAACATGGAGGCAAGAGTCACCCGTCAGTTTGGTACATTTTCTTTCCTTTGTAATAGATAATGGAAACTAGAAAATAAAATGTTGCTTTTAGAAACAACAAAATCAGATCTGACTTGGGACTCAGGCACTTTCCTTTTAAACAAACACCCTAGCTGATATAGATAATGCTGATACTTTGAAAAATATTTCTTAAAGTAAATCCATCTAGCCTTTAATATGTTTTACTGAGAGCACATGTTTAGGAAGCATTTTGTAACCCCAAAAATACTACACGAGTGTTACACACCTCCACCAAATAGAACTTAGTGACCAAAACATCTTAAATGAGAGAATAATTCCATATGCATGTATATGTTTGTTTTCAATGCTTTTCTGTAGTAATTATTTATATAGAACTTCCTGTGCTACTAAGAGAAGGCATCAAGTCATATGTCCATTTTACAGGTGGAAAAATGGAGCCAAATACATTTAATCATAAGAGGGAAAGAAAGAGAACTGGGAGTTCAGGTTCAGTAGTAGATAATTGTCTTCTCTAATAAATTTAAGAGTAAAGGTAAATAATATTTGGTTTTTTTTAGTAGAACAGTCATGCATTTGGAAAAAATTTTGTTTTTGTGCACAAAGGAAAGTAACGCCATATATCTTCATGCTTTATTTTAGCATGTATTAGATAATATTGGTCTTTTCTTGATAAATGAGTGTGGCGATGCAGTGTGTTCTGGATTGGCTTTGTCCAAAGAAGGAAGCTAAGATCACATCCCATAGAAGGAGCGAGAACTTGTGTCATGGGTAGAGAGGAAAACACTTACCACTCTTCAAATAGTATAGTGCATTGCTGAGTGGTGATCCTTTTAATTACTCTGCAGTAGAAATTTTACTGTGCACATTACTTGGCTCTTTCCACTATTTAGTTGTATAAAGAAGTAGGGGAGAAACAAATGAAGAAATGGATTTTGAGAACTTGAGACATCTGTAGGATTTCATGTAATTGTGTATACTTTACATAAAGAGAACAAAAAGGTTAAATCCTTGCAACATCACTTAGCATTTAATGTAAATATTCCTTTATGGATTTTTTTTTTCTTTCCAACCCGGCTGCTTATTTTGTCTTCCTTCCACAAATATTTGTTGAGCACCAGTTATGTGCCAGGCACTCTGATACCTATCCAAAAACATGAGAACAGTTTGGGAGTGACTTCTCAGTAACATTGTAGACAGTATATCAGGTACTTAATAAGCATTCTTCAGTTTTTAAATTAATTTGAAATGAACCTAATAGGAATTGGGTTTAAATTTCTTAAACACAGAAAGATGATCTGTGTGGACCTGCTGAAAAGGATGTAGTCCTAGCTGGGCATGGTGGCACACACCTGTCATCCCAGCTACTTGTGAGCCCAAGGCAGGAGGATTACTTGGGCTCTCAATTGCCAAGCCCAGGAATTGAAGGCCAGCCAGGGTAATATAGCCAGACCTTGTCTCTGGAAAAAAAGATCTAGTCCTTAAGATTATATGTGGAATTCTTGTGAACCAAATTAGTCTGTCTGGGTTATCTCCAAAATACAGTCCACACCCACACATTGAACACCTGTCTCCATTGCTGCTGTAATCTGGCCCAAGCCTTGACATCTGATCATCTCACACTTCGTGCTCAGTAACAGCCCCCTTATTTAATGCCTCCCTGCTGCTCCTTCTGTTCCCCACAGCTCGCCCTCAACAGCCAGAATGATAAGACTTAAGTGACATCACACCCCTCTACTGCTTAATATGCTCCACTGGCTTTTATTGCACTTAAAATAATCTCCAAACTCCTTACTATGTGTGGCCTCTGGGTGTCCATGTGAGATGGTCTTTCCCTGTCTCTGTATGTAGCCTCTTCTTGTTATACTTCTCTTCTTGTTATACTCCTTTGCCACTAGGCTTTACCTTGTCACTGATATTAGTGTATCATTATCTTTCTCCGTCTGCTGGGTTGTAAGCTCCTTGAACAGTGCCTGAGACATAGGCTTGCTTAGTGGATTTTTACTGCTTAAGGGAATACTGTCGTGAATCTTTATGATTATCACTCTTGTTTTTGTTAATTCTTACGTTGGATTTGCATGCATGTAGCAAAACACATGCCTAGAAATAAGGCACTTGGAGAATTGAGACATTTTAGAGATATAACAGCTGTAGTAATTGACACATCTTAAATACAGAATAGAACAGGGGTTGGAATACTTTTCTGTGAAGAGCCAGGGAGTAAGTAGATATTAAAGGCTTTGTGGGCCACATGGTTTTCTGTCATAGCTCCTCACCTCTGCCACCATAGCAGGAAGGTAACCATAGATGGTACATGAATGAATCAACATGTGCGTTTCAATAAAATTTTTATATGTAAGCACTGAAATTTGAATTTCATAGAATTTCCACAATAACACATGAAATATTACTATTTCTTTTTTTTGTCTTCCTTCCCCCACCCCCCCCATCCAAAAGGTTAAAAAATAGACTTAGCTCACAGTCCATACAAAAATTGGTGGTTTGGATGGCCCATGGGCTATAATTTGCCAGCCTCTGGGATAGAACAGCATTTTCTTCTGAGTGAGAAGTTACAGCTAATTGTTTACTTGAGAGGTTAACCAATCATCTCCGCAATGTAGTTGTAACTCTGTTAAATAGCTACTGGCTATTCAGTTAGAAAGGGAGTGAGGATGGCAGGCTGTGCAGAACCTGAACAGGGTTAAAGCTACAATGAGAAGCCATCATTTTGAGAGTTTTGCTGAGACCAATTTCCCATCCTGTCATAATTAGAGAACCTGATACTGATTCTTTTTTAAGTTCCTAAAACCGATCTTTTTTCTTTCCTCTTTTTAGGTACACAACAAAACATTTGAATGATGAGACTACCTCCAAGCAAATTAAATCCATGCTGCAATAACAATTCTGGAATAAGCACCTGCTGTAGACAGAAGACAGTATTCTGCAATGACTGAGAATGCACAGTTTTTTAGTGATTGCAATTACTATCTCATTTATTCTTGCTTTTATTTCTTTCCTCTGTTCCTCTTCCCTCTTTTTTAATCATGTTCTTGTTCTTAAGACTTCTTTTCTGTGCCAAAATTAGTAAAGTTACACTCTGAAGGGATATCATCCTTTCAAACAGGCCATCTAAGGCAGCTAATTATGCATTGCATTGGGGTCTCTACTGAGAAAAATTCTGTGACTTGAACTAAATATTTTTAAATGTGGATTTTTTTTGAAACTAATATTTAATATTGCTTCTCCTGCATGGCAAAACTGCCTATTCTGCTATTTAAAAACCCTCAATGACTTTATTTTCTACTGCCGCCTTTTTCATGTGCAACCAAAATGAAAATGTTTAAATTAACTGTGTTGTACAAATGGTACCCAACACAAACTTTTTTTAAATTAGTAATACTTTTGTTTAAAGTTTTAAGTTTGCATTTTGACTTTTTTTGTAAGGATGTATGTTGTGTGTTTAACCTTTATTAACTAACGTTAAAAACTGTGATGTGTGCGTAGAATATTACGTATGCATGTTCATGTCTAAAGAATGGCTGTTGATGATAAAATAAAAATCAGCTTTCATTTTTCTAAGTGTGGCTTGGTTTACTGATGTTTTGTTTTTAGGCTTCTAAAGTTTTCCCCATGTATGTTTTTATGGAATGCATATATACATTACATGATTTTTTCTTTTAGGGGAGAGCCGGGTCTTTTCATTAGAATTTTTATCATTGTCTATGTATATAATTTTAATTGCCTTTAAAATTTTGCTAAGTATATTAAGACCAGTGATCTTTTCATTAACTGGACTTTTATTCTTGATTTACTCTTGTATGGATGTAGTAATGAAAGGAAAACCGCATCCTAGCTTGATTCACCATTTCCAGGAGAGTGGGTAGCAACGTGAAGGCAGAGTAGCCCTTTAATCCTGGGAAGAGAGTGATTATAAGAGGGACTTCCTAGGAGAAAAGCAGAGACCATGGTCTCACTAGTGGTGGAAAACTAACATGTTTTTCAGTTTGAGATCATAAAACCTAAATCATGAAATCTAAATCTCACGGTTGGAAGAAACTGCTTAAAGGTTGTCTAGTTCAACCATGCCAGTGTTTTAAATATTTAGGAATATCTGAGGTATAATGCAATTAAAATGCTTAACCATGGAAGAGAATCACAGAGGCTTCCCTCAGACCCTTCTGAATTAATAGGGCCAGATCATGGCACACACAGCTTCTCAAGATCATATCCCTGCTGATCTCTCTGGCCCTCCCGCTCACTGCTCCCCCACTTCACACCCTGTTCTGCAGCCAGGCCCTACTGCTTGCTATTCACAAATTGTCCCATGCGATGTCACTTCCTTAACTCTGGTCTGGCTGGTACCTGAACCTGACATTACCTTCCTCCCCTTGTGACCATCTAATGGACGCCAACTTTCATCTTTGAAGGGTTATCTTCTATTACCTCCTTCATGGAGCCTTCTGGATAACATTGGCCATATCCTTCTAGGCATCCTCTAAGAATAGGGTAATGGGCTAAATAGTGACCCCCAGGAGATACATTCACTGGGAACCTGCACGTGTGACCTTATTTGGGAAAAGTTTTTGCAGATGAAATCAAGGATCGGGAAATGAGATCAACCTGTAGTAGGATGGGCCCTAAATTCAATGACCAGCTATTAGAAAAGAAGGGGAAAGAGACGTACAGAGCTGAAGGCCATGTGAAGATGGAGGCAGAGATTAGAGCAATGCATCTATGAGCCAAAGAACCCTAAGAATTGGAAGTCGCTAGAAGCTAGGAAAGAAGCTTGTCACAGATGATCTCAGAGTCTTGAGCAGGAACCAACCCTGCCAATATCTTAATTTCAGATATCTGGCCTCCAGGATTGTGAGGGAATAAGTTTCTGTTGTTTTAAGCCATGCGGTTTGTGGTATTTTGGTACAGCAGCCTTAAGAATCTGATACATGTATCTCGTAAAACATCTCTGATACTTACCTGCGCTTGTGGCTGTGTTGTCTGATTCTATAAGAGCCGTAGTATCTGGATACTAGAGAGTCTGCAAACTTGAGAGAAGGGCCATGTCTGATTTTCCTTCAGTGTCCCAAGGAAGGATCTCGCACAGTACCCGGATTTGGAGAGGTGCCAAGTGAATGCTTCGGTGGACTGAATGAATACAAATCAAAAATAATGACGCAGCTGGAATGGATGCAGTAAGATTGCTGTGGCCTATGCAGTTCACATAGTTCACACTCTGCATGTTGAAGAATAAGTGGACAAATCTCTTTAGCCCAGGGGCTAGCAAACCGGTCTTTGGGCCAATTTATCCACCATCTGTTTTTGTACAGCTTGTGAGCTAAAAATGGTTTTTAAAAAGGTTGAATACAATGAAAAGAATAATATTTTGTGGCATGAGAAAAGCATATGAGATTCAAATTTTAGTGTTCATAAATAAAATTTTATTGGAACCTAAGCCTCATTCATTTGTTGACACATTTATCGAGACTTTTGCACAACAGCAGAATTGAGTTGTGACAAAGACCATATGACCCTCAAAAGCTAAAATATATTTACTGTCTGACCCTTTCCAGAAAGAATGTTCCTCTCCCTCCACTAGATCCAAGAGTAGGGTTATCTGACAACGTAGTGTGATGGAAGCCAAGGGCTGCAGTGTCATCGAAGGACACAGCACTGCGGCCACAAGATGATTCAACTTCCGATCTAGTACTTGCCATTCAGATTGCCAGGGAGAGCAAGCAGGCATCTTCTCTGCCAACTCTATCTGTAGTTCTCATGTCTGTCCTTATTCAGGGGTAGGCATGGAGTCAGCCAGTGTATTAGTCCATTTTCACACTGCTTATAAATACACATCCAAGACTGGGCATTTATGAAAGAGAGGTTTAATTGACTTACAGTTGCATGTGGCTGGGGAGGCCTCACAATCATGGGAGAAGGTGAAAGGCACATCCCACTTGATGGCAGACAAGAGAAGAGTTTTTGCAGAAAAACCCCCCGTTAACCATCAGATCTCATGAGACTGACTGTCATGAGAACAGTACGGGAAAGGCCTGCCCTCATTATTGAATTACTTCCCACTGGGTCCCTCCCACAACATGTGGGAATTCAAGATGAGATTTGGGTGGGGACACAACCAAACCTTGCCAGCCAGGATTAATTACTGCCCACTGGAGGAAGGTATGAGTCTGCTCTGGTGTAGGAAAATCCTTTGAACCCCAGTCTTGTCTCTAAAACGCACCTGGTTAGTGTGTCTCTACTCATCCTATGCCCCAGCTTTTCTTCACAATTTAGAGAAATCCATTGCCTCATCTCTTCCACCAAACATGCCCGTAATTAACTCACCACTGCCCCATTTCCACAGCCCTCAACATAGATAAGTGGAACTTCTCAACTGGCTGGCTTCTCACTTTAAAGATTTGGGCTAAGAAGCATTCTGGACCATTTTAAGATTGCTACAAGTATTTTAGACTTGTCATAAGGATTAATGACATTTTTACTCAAATCTAGGTCTTTTGAGTTGAAATGTCATTCTGATTCCATTTGAGACTGCAGTTAACTGCAGTTTTGAAGTTCTTACTGTTGGAAGCACATTTCAAACTTCAGAGTAAGATTCAATCATAGAAGATGCAATGCAAAGATCTGTGGGTCAAGGGTCAGGAGACCCAAGCCATTATCTCTTCTTTGAAACTCTATTTTCCTCATCAGTAAAATGAGAGAATTGAAACAGATGATCTCTAACACTGATTCCATGTCTTATATACTGTCTGCAAAGGCAGTAGTAGTGTGAATACTTAAAAGACAGGCTTTAGGCAGTAGAGTGTAGTTTATTCTGGTCTCCCTCTTTAACTCCATGTGACTTTGGGCGAGTCTCATGTGTCCTTGTAACAGGGAATACTCAAAATACCTACCTCTCCAGGGTGGTCCTGAGAATTGTGCTAGTTTAATGCTCACAATGTCCTATGCATATCAGAAGTTTTATTCTGGCCATCATGACATTTGACTACATTAAACGCAGTAGGTATTATATCTATTAACATGCATTGTTTCCCATTCTAAAGTAATCTACAGTAGTAGTTTCACTACTTTCCTCAGTCCATGCGGGTGCTAGGCAAACCTGCACAGAATCTCACTCTGTCGTCCTCCTGGCACATACAGTGAAATGTTCTGGTTGGATGTATCTAGGACGAGTCTCTAATCTCCTCTCCTCTGAGCTGTGGTGGCATTTTGTTCACTCGTCTGTGATAGCACTGGACATTGAAGCAAGCATCTTACTGCAGTGGGCACCAGGGAGCCACAGAAGGTTTGTGAGCAGGGCAGCCACCCAGTGCACAGGACCCAAGGCCCACAATATATATTGAAGGACCATGAAAACATTTCACTATATTTTAAAATCAGAAGGAAAAAAAATACACTTGAAGGTCTAAGAGAATGTCTTAATGCCTAAGAAAAAAAGTATTAATGTATTTATACCAACACAGTCTTGTGATAATTTTTCATATTTTTCTGGAGGAAAGGTCCCACGAAGGCCAAAGTGTTTGGGGTCCCTGAGAGTCACAGCATGGGGAGCAGGAGGCAACGACCCAAGTGGGGCCTGTTTCTGTGGGTGCCAGAGGTGTGCCCGCTGGGCAGTGGGGAGGAGTCAGGGAGGGGACAGCTGCGCAGGTGCCACCCAAAGTCGGGTTCCGCCTCAGGTGGGTGGGACCAAGGGAGAGGGTCTCCAAAGGCCGCAGGGCCAGAGGGTTGGGGTGAGGGCAGGGATGGGGAAGCGGCTACTCTAATGCCCCTTGGCCTGCCCTCCTGAGAGTGGCCACCTGAAGTACCACCTAGGTCCGGGCCTCTGGCAACCCTGTACCTGAGGCTCTGGGTCGCTGCTCACGAGCCCAGGCTGTGCCCCACGCGGGACCTTGCTGGCACCCCTGGCCAGGCCACTGGAGGATTGCTTGAGCAATCCTCCAGTAGGTAGGACCACAGGCAGCCACCACCACACCCAGCTAACTTTTTTTATTTTTTTGAGATGGAGTCTCACTCTGTCATCCAGGCTAGAGTGCAGTGGCGTGATCTCGGCTCACGACAACCTCTGCCTCCCAGGTTCAAGCAATTCTCCTGCCTAAGCACCCTGAGTAGCTGTGATTACGGGCACCCACCACCATGTCCAGCTAATTTTTGTATTTTTAGTAGAGACAGGATTTCGCCATGTTAGCCAGGTTGGTCTCAAACTCCTGACTTCAGGTGATTCACCCTCCTCGGCCTCCCAAAGTGTGGGATTACAGGTGTGAGCCACCGAGCCCAGCCACAGCTAACTTTTTATTTTTTGTAGTGATGGGCTCTCACTGTGTTGCCCAGGCTGGTCTTAAACTCCTGGGTTCAAGTGATTCTCCTGCTTGGCCTCCCATAGTGCTGGGATTATAAGCATGAGCCACCACACCTGGCCACAATCAATCTGAGAACATTTCATCACCCCAAATAGACCCTCCTCTCTCCTTGCCATCCCCTTTCCCTCCCGGCCCACCCCATTCTTACTAGCCCTGGCCTTGAGGCAGGAGATCAGCAGGACTCGTTTTCCCCACCTTGGTCACCACCCTGCTGATCAAAGCAGAATGTATTAATAGCAAAGAAACTAGCCCACACCAGCTAGGACCAAGAAGGCCATGAAAGTGACCTCTTGTTGCTCTAATTGTTCATTATACACTAATTATAATACATTTGCATAAGACACTCCTACCAGTGCCATAGCAGTTTATGATGTCATGGCAATAACCTGGAAGTTACCTTATGTGGTTCTGGGAACTCCCCACCCCTTTTCCAGAAAGTTTGTGAATAACCTGCCCCTTATTTAGCATATAATTAAGAGTGGGTATAAATACAGCTAGCCAGCAGTCCACCAGTGCTGCTCTGGGCCTCTCTGCCTATGGGGTAGCTCTACTTTGTGGAGCAGCTATTTTGCTGTATGCTGTTGCTCTAATAAACATTCTTTCATCCTTTTTTTTGAGACAGGTTCTCTGTTGCCTAGGCTGGAGTGCAGTGGGATGGTCATGGCTTACTGCATCCTCCCACCTCAGCCTCCCAAGTAGCTGGGACTATAGACGTGTGCCACCAGCTGGGCTAATCTTTGTATTTTTAGCACAGACGGTGTTGCACCATGTTGCCTAGGCTGATCTTGAATTTCTGGGCTCAAGTGATCCACCCATCTTGGCCTCCCAAAATACTAGGATTACAATAGTGAGCCACCACGCCCGGCCAAACTTACTTTCTTTCACTGTAAGCTTGTTCTTGAATTCTTTCTTGGGTGAAGCCAAGAACTCTCCCTGAGTGAGCCACAATTTTGGGGTTCACCTGAGTCAGTCTCTGTGGATTTGCCCATTCTGGATATTTCATACAAGATATGGTCCTTTGTGTCTGTCATCTCTTAAGTAACAAACTTGTGTTGCTGATCAATTGCTGAGTCTTAGAAAGTATCCATGGATTGACCATGGAAGATGAGGATCTGGGGCCCCCTCTCTCTGTACCATGCACAAGTCCCATCCCTCATCTTTCCAGTGGAGTTACACTGGTTCCCCCTCACCCACCTGGCCATGTTCCAAGGCCCCCAGTGGATGCTGGCAACCACAGATAGGAGCGACCCCTGTATCTGTTGTTTTTTCTGATTGGATAACCCCTACAGCTACTGAGTGACTGATGGGCAAGTAGTGTAGACAGTGTGAAGATGTCGAACAGAGGGATGATTCATGTCCCCACAGGACAGAAAAGGACAGCACAAGATTTCATTATGTTACTCAAAACAGTGTGCAATTGAAAACTTATTAATTGCTTATTTTTTGAGTTTTCCATTGAAGATTTTTAGGGTAACTGAAACCACTAAAGCAAAACCTTAAATAGAGACTACTATACATCCTAATTTCCTGTGTTCATTATTAAAGACTAAAAATGCTATTCATGTATTAGTAAACTGTGATTTTTTTCTTTTCTTGGTGAATTTTTGTTTTACTTCTTTTGTCCTTTTCTTTTTGCTTTTCCCCTTGTTTTCTATGTACTTATGTATATCTAATTAAATTCAAACTCTGCTAATTGCATAACTCTCCTAATATGCTCAGATTCAAGGTATTAATTTTGCTTCCTGGAGAAATCTCTTGGGAACTCAGTATCATCTTGGGAATTCCTCTGTCTCTGATCTACATAAATCTCCTTTTCCTAGTGTCCAGTGTCTTCTTCTTGGATTTCTTTTAACTTTGGTATGTCACACCCTCTTATAGCTTTCTGGTAATGGAAACATGGGAAGCATTTAAAAAATAAATAAATAAATAAATAAATAAAGGTTTGTCTGAAAATGTCCTTATTCTAGCTTCAAGCTTGGTATAGAATTCTAGGTTGGAAATAATTTTCCCTCAAAATTTAGGAAGGGATTACTTCTAGTTTGGTTGTAAAGTCATTCTCACATATGGTCTTTTGTAAG